CTGGCCCGGCGTCAAATTTCCCACCTGACCCTGCTCACTTCCCCATTGATTGCAGTGTTAAAGATCTCCCCACATTTGGGGTAAGTGCTCGGGACCACAGCCTGCCCCTGCATGTTGGACCATAGGCTTGTACCGACTCGATCGCAATTTTTGCCAAGTCCCTCACTCCAGCTCCTATTCTCAGAGCTGCCTTGGGGCCTTTCTGCGGTCACTGCCTTTGATGCAAGGGGAGGTGCGGTGCCGGTCACTCTATTTGCGGCGTGAAGACGCAGAATTATTGCAGTGGAACGGAAGGTGAGGCTCTGGCCCCGGCGGGGTCCCCTGCTTTGTGGGGCCCACCGGGGTGTCTGGTGACGGAACTCGCACGCTTCGCGAGACACGGCACCTGGGCTGGGTGCACAAGGCTTTGCCGACTAACCCAAACCGGCAAGGACCAGCTCCAAAGGACGGAAGGGAGGGGCTGCACCGGTGCAGGGCAGGGTGGGGACGGGCGGTGACGGGGGCGAGGCAGCGTTGGGGGTTTGGCCAGTCAGGATTGCTCGAGCAGAAGAAATGTGAAGGTGCTGAAAGACACAAGGCTCAAGAAGGGCTTTCAAGGCCATGACCGAGGCTGGACTGGGTTGGGGGCGGCGGGTTTCAGGCCTAGCAGATGCACGGTGGAAAGCTGCAGCGAGCGGAGTGGCAGGACACCGGGACTGGGGTGGCGTTCGGAGCGCGCCACACAGGCTGAGGAGCAGGAGCCGCCGAGGGCTGAGCCGCAGGTGCAAGCAGCCGGTGCAGAGCCTTGGAGCGGTGACAGACTGCAGCTGTGATGACTGGAGCGGCTGGGTTCAGCCCAACCCTGTGATGCCCTCAGGCGCTCTACTTCCCCGGCCTGCACTGCCCACTTCACCGGTAAAGCCTTGAACTGAGTCAACTTAAGTCGACGTACAGCCAATGTTGTCATTAAAGCAGGGGTTCGCATGCACACTCTGCTTTCTGCTGGCGGGGCGTGTCCTCACCAGGAGCGTGTCCACCCACTGAAGTGGGGCATTGCGATTATCCCTGATCTACAGGTGGGGAAACTGAGGCACATGGCAGGGTCATCAGCTGTGAGCCCTGCACCAGGCTGACAGCTCAGGCTGTCAGGGGGTGGGGGCGCCCCAGCTGTGAGCCCCACACTGGGCTGACAACCAACAGGCGATGTAAGTCACGGTGTCTACCGACACCGCATCGCCCGAACCACATTGACCTAAGCCCAGCGCCTCTCACGGGGGTGGAGTTTTGAAGTCGATGTCGCGGGTGACTTACGCTGGCAGGCACGACGTTGCAGTGTAGACACTGACAGGGTGAGGGTGACGTCGGCTGCCTTACGTCGACCTAACTTCGTAGTGCAGACCAGGCCGAAGTGTCTCCCTGTATCCTGGCCTGGGTGAGCAGTCAGGAAAGGCGCTGCAGAGTCCGTCAGCGGCTATGGGGCCTCACCCGGGGCCTGGCCCTGGCCCTGAGACGTGCTGACACCGGCGGGCACTTGGCACCCTTCCGGATCAGGTCTTTACAGCCGCTGTTGCTATTGCTCGCTGGATCTAGCCGCCTGGGCCCCCCATCTGTTCCCCCGCTCCTGCCCCCAGCAGTGAAAGAGGCAGCATGACATGGGGGCGAGGGCCAGTTTCCTGCCTAACTGTGTCCCCCTTGTCAGGACTCTGAGCTGCTAATCACTGGCTCTGTGCCCCCCTCCCCCCCGCCCTTCCCTGGATTGCACCCTCGTCAGAACAAGACAGGATTTCAGCCCCGGTGACCTGCTGCCTCTGGCTGACTCGCGGGACGTGGGGCCTTATGGAGGGTATGACACACACACGGACTCACCTCACCCATCACCCTGTGCCGGGGCTGGGGCAGGGAATCCCGGCGCCAGGCCTCAGCCAAAAACACCCCCCTCCCACCCAGCCTTGAACGGCTTGAGAGCTTGGGGGCTGCAGAGATGGGAGGGGAACGGGAGGTGGGGGAGGAGAAATGTGCTGAATTTCTCCCCCCCCTCCACTACACAGCCTGCAGGAGGGATCATTCAGGATCTGCTGGGGGGGGTGGAGGGGGGCTGCCTCCATGCAGGGTCACAACTGTGGGGAGGGGGGGAGGACGGACCTTCCTGCTGAGTGCAGTGCTACACCCCTCCAAAGGGGCGCCCCCCAGGCTGGCTGCCCAATGCCAGTGTGGAGAGGCAGAGCTGCTCCTGAGCATGCTTGTCCCCCTGCAGCCGCCAGCTCCAGCGGCTGCTTCTGGTGCAGCGCCCCTCCACGCACCCCACCCGGCAGCATCTCCCACAGCCCCAGGGTTTGCAGGGATCAGGGACACCAGGGCTGCGTTAATCCTGCTGGGGTGTTGTAAAGGCGCCCTGAGCAAGTTTGTACAGGGCAGGGGGGGTGTCTTCTGCTGGGAATCACCAGCCCAGCCTCCCCCCAGCTGCGTGAGCTCTGTGGGGAAGTCTGTGATTGCAACATTTTGCAGTAACCAGGAGCTGCTCGCCCTGGGGGAGCTGGGTTCCTGTCCGGCACTGGTGAATCACCCTCCAGGCATGGAAAGCCAAGGCCAAACAGGGACAGTGGGCTGGACCCAGCCCATTGCTCTGTCCTCCCTGTACACAGATAGGAGGTCTGTCCTCTGCTCCAGCCCATGAGAGCCCCACTGGCATTGCAACAGCAGCACGGTCTAGAGGTTACAGCAGAGGAGGCGGGACTCTCAGCTCCAGGGGTCTGTTTCTAGCTCTGTGGGGGAGGGATGTGATTCAGGGTCTGGGCTGGGAGTCAGGATGCCTGGCTTCTATTGCACCCTCTGCCACAGACTTGCAGGGTGATGCAGGACAGGTCAGAATCGCTCTGTGCCTCAGTTTCCCCCCACCCCATGGGGAGAATACAACTTACCTTTGTTCCAGTGGCTTGAGAGCTGGGCTGGAAGGGACGGGTATTATGAGATGGGCTCTTGGCCTTCCTCAGGTGGTGGTGACGGTGCGGGCAGGGGAAGGGGGGACACTTACAGGCCCGCAGCCCCCTTATCCTCACCCTGTCTCAGACCCTGGGAAGGGGGAGGGGGATTGAGGACCAAAAGGGGCCAGGCCTGGGTAGACTTCTGCACCTGCAATTCTGTGTCCTGCAAAACCCTGCAGGGGCAGAAGTTTGGGCAGCCCAAGCTCGTGTCAAAGGCATCAGCCGTCCCTGCATTACAAGAGGAAAGGTCAATTTCCTGATCTTTCTGGGCTGAGTCAACACCAGGCTCCTAACCCGCCCACGCAGCTGGAGTCAGAGACCTCTGGCTCCCATCTCCACCTGACTCCTGCAGGCTGGTGGCCAGTCAAGAGAAAGGACCCAGCTGCCCCTGCCTAAAATTGCACAGCACTGCTGACCTGTGGTTTCCCGCCCAGCCTGGCCGTGTGTCATAAAGCCAGGGGCGAAGGGACAGGCCAGCCTGCTGATCTCAAGGCCTGTCTCGTTCCAATGGATGAATACCGGGCGTTTAATTTCATCTGTTCTTTTACATGTTACCAAACTCCCCTCATGTATCCAGCTCACCTCTGTAACCAGCCTGGGGTGCGGCCCCGCTGGGGAGCACTGCACCCACCAACCCCTGCTTTGGGGGCCTGGCGGACGGCTACCCGCGTGCACCGGTGCTGCAATGACCAGAGGCAGTGCTGGGTGTGGATACGCCCAACGGGCTCCCGTTAGCCAAGGGCCGGGCGTAGCAGCGCTGTTGCAAGTTCTCCCCATCACGGCAGCTTAGTCCGAACGTGGCAGACCGTGTGTCACGTTACTGACTTGAACTGGGACCGTATAGATCATTGTTGCAACCAAGGTTCTGTAGTGGCACCAAATCTTGTATAAAGGGGGTCAAATGAGGTGTCTAAGAGGAGGTTATGGTTTGCTGGTTAGGATGATGCTGTCTATCTGTGGGTATCATTTTTGTAGTTGAAGTTAGGAATATTGGCTCTGTACTGTCTGTATTTCAAACCTATGCTCTGTTTCTGGGGGACACCCCAGACAAGCTGGTGTCAGCTCTGCCTAGCCGGCTGGGTGGCCCATTAAGGACCATCAGCTACACAACTGACCCATTGAGAGAAGGCAGACACGCCTGGGGACTCAGCCAGGTGTGCAGGGACCTGCCTAGGGACAGGACTCTGAGGTGTTTCCAGGCCATGGGATGGGCAGCTTGTCTTTGGGACACAGAAAGAGACCACACGGCAAGAGACTATACAAAGCTCCTGCAGCTCCTCCATCTTGTCTTCAGTCCTGCTTCCGACCTCTGGAGGGACTTGGCTACCCTGACGCTTTGAACCAAGGAGTGAAGGACCCATCCCAGCTGGGGATGTTCTCCAGAGACTTGATTTGAACCTGCCGTTTATTCCACCACTGCTGCAAGCCTGAACCAAGGACTTGGCCATCACTGGATGTCACTGATTCCATTTCACCAATTCTAGCTCCCATCTGTATCTTTTCCTTTTATGAATAAGTCTTTAGATTTTAGATTCTAAAGGATTGGCAGCAGCGTGATTTGTGGGTAAGATCTGACTTGTACATTGACCTGGGTCTGGGGCTTGGTCCTTTGGGATCGAGAGAAGCTTTGTTCTTTTACTGGGGTATTGGTTTTCATAACCATCTGTCCCCCTACCAGTGGCACTGGTGGGGATACTGGGAAACTGGGGTGTCTAAGGGAATTGCTTGTGTGACATGTGGTTAGCCAGGGGGGTAAAACCAAAGTCTTCTCTGTCTGGCTGGTTTGGTTTGCCTTGGTGGGCACAGAAACTCCAGCCCTGGGCTGTAACTGCCCTGCTTGAAGCAGTTTGTCCTGACTTGGCACTCTCCGTTGGGTCCCGCCAGAACCAGCCTCGTGACACCGTGGTCCAAGGCCAGAGGGTCTGGGGGTTACGCCCCTCCCACGTAATCGACCGGAGGACTCCCCAGCCCCATTGGCAGTGACTCCCCCAGCCCCACCCTGACTCCTTTTCCGCCCCGGGTTTAATGAACAGAGCTCAATGCTTGGAAGCTGCTACCCGCCGGTTTAATGCCCAGAGGCAGCCGGCCCTTCACACGCGGCCGCGGAAGGGGCTGGGCTTGTCAGAGGCCTGGAAGGCGCTGCCCGGCGGGCGCTGGGTGGCGAACGGGGCGAAGAACTCGGCGGCGAAGGGGAGGACGTCGTCGGGTTTGCGCAGCAGCAGGAGCTGCAGGAAGTCGGCCAGCAGGGTGCGCAGCTCCGGGTGGCGCCGGGCGTAGGAGGCGTGGCCGGCCTGCAGCTCCTCCTGCAAGGGGAAAGAGGCCCCGCCTCCATCAGCCTCGCGCCGGCGGCTGCGGGGGGCGGGGGGGCAAGCCACAATCTCCAGGCAGACCGGCGATCAGGCAGGCCTGGCGTCCTGCGCCCGGCTCCAGAACTGGCAGGCAGCCGCCCACACAGTGAGCCGACGGTAGGGCCGGGAGACGAGACGTGCAATCCAGCCTCCGGCCGCCCCTCCAAAGCTCCCGGTGCTGGGGCAAACCCTCCGCGGCGCCCTCACCCAGCCTGGTTCTGCTTTGACCCCTGCTTCCCCCCACTGTCCCCCGCTCTTCCCTCTCCCATGCTGCAGCGCTCTCAGGTCCCGCCGTTCAAACATCTCCATTGCAGGCTGGACCAGTGACATCCCCTCGGCCTCCCCCCACATGCCGGGAGCTGCAGCCTGGGGGCGGCTGGTCCGACCTCAGAACAGCCCCGCGCTCCCCCAACTCACCTTCCTGTCCAGGAACTGGGAATAAAGCTGCACGTCTTCCTCCCAGTCCAGGGACTTCTTCTCGAAGACAGGCCGGGGCTCCGCTTCATCTGGGAGAGTGGGGAGAGCGAGCAGGTCTCATGACACGGGATTCAGAAAACGGGTTTAGGGCGGGAGCCCAGCGTGTCTCTTGTGCCCAGCAGCATCCGGAGGGGCTAACCCGGCTCTGTCCGTTGTACCAATCCCATGGGCCACCCCAGCTTCACCGTTATTCTGCACATCCCGCGCCCTCTCACGGTAGCAGCAGGAAGAGAGCTCAGGCCCAGATCTCCATTGAAATCAGTGGGCGTAAGCAGCCTATCTACCTTTGAGGGTCTGGGCCCCAGAGCCTCCTGCTCCAAGATGTGAGCTCAAGGAGTCCCCATTAGCTGTCAGCAGTATGGGGCCTCTGACACACAGCAGGGTGGTTCCAATTCAACGCCACAGAGGGCAGCGGGGACGCATGCTGGCCAGCTCTCTTAGTGCTGCCACTAGGCCGTTCCACTGGTGCCTGGGTCAGCGGCGGCAGAAGAGGGTGACGGTCTGCAATTCCCAACACCGTGGGGACACGCGTGTGTCCAACCCTCCGTGACCCCCCGCACGCCCACTCTGACAGCGCGTCCGCAGCCTGGGGAGGGACTAGCCGCTCCTGGAACCAGATCAGAAGGAGTCTCGTTTCAGAGAGCTCCGGCACAGACCCGGGTACCCTTCGTACCATTGGACCCCCTTCCCCAGCCCATGACGCTACCCCCACCTCCGGACCCCCTCCAGGCTCCTTACCTACATCGATGAGAACGGGCAGCTGCTGGAGCAGCATGGTGGCCGGGGACCCAACCTGGACACGACGGGCCAAATGTCTGGGTGATGGAGAGGAGCGGGTGAAGGACCTGGCCCTACACTGTTACCTTCCACCTCCCCAGGCCTGGCTGTGGGGCCCACCCGCCGCGGGGACCTGGGAGCCCCCGCGCCTGGTGCAGAGACGGGTGCCGTGGATTTGTTATTCCCTCGTACGTGCCTGGACGCGGGCGGGCACCACCGCTCCGGGGGCAGCTGGGGTTGTGCGGCCAGACGTTTCTCTGCCAGGGGGTCGCCTCCCCGGCCAAGGGGCCGAGTGTGGCTGGCTCCCCGCTGTGCCGCTGTCAGCCCTCCGTGCCGACGGACGGGGAGGAAGTGCCAGGACGCCTTGCACAGCACGGGGTGCCCTCCGGCTCAGCAGCATGGCAGGGGCGCTCTCCTGGCGTGACCCTTCCTGGGCCATCAGAGCAGGCAAGGGAGGGATGGGCTCGCGCTGCCCTCTACTGGGCAGGCTCCCACGGCCGATGGCAGCCCCATAGCGAACGGAGCTTCCCCTCCTGCTGCGGGGCGACAAGGCCCCGGCTTTGATTCCCGCTGTCATCTGCACAGGCCCGGAAAGGCTGCAGGGGAGCTGGCAGCGGGAGTGGGGCGAGAGGCCCAGGGAACTGCACTGCCCCTAGTGTGGATCCAGGGATGTTTAATAACCAATGTCCTTTTAGAAACAAAGCGGGTGACTGGCTCAGGAGCTGGAGGACAGGATCTGGAGCCCCCCACCCGCCCCCATAGACTAAATCTGACCCCGTTGCCCTGGGAGATAAGTGGCAGGAAGCAATCCCAACCTCTGGAAACCCCTGGAGCAAGGCTCCCCCCGCTGAGCCCCTGGGAAGGAGGTGCCAGGGTGGCCCAGCATTCGAGGGACACAGGCAGGCTGTTCCCAGGCCCCAGGGAGGGCAGAGGCGGACGGGCCAGGTACTGCCCGCACAGAGCGAGAGCTAAGGAGCGGCCCCGGGAGCACGAGAGCCGAGCAGGGCTCGGGCGGGTGACGGGCCGCTGGGTTCTCCTACCCGTCGGAGAGGAAATAGAACTGCCAGGTCATGGGGATGCCCTCGTCCGGGTACACGGCCCTCTCAATCCCAAACACCTCCACCTCCGTCATGCCCACCAGCTGCTTCTGGAAGCCCATGGCAGTCTGCAGAGGGAGAGATGGGTGAGAGAAGCAGGGAGCAGGACAAGCCCTTTTAGCCTTCAGGCTGGATAGTGGCTCCCCCAGCCGCCCCACCCCTCAGCTGCTATAGACCAGGAGATATGGGGGAGGGCATGGAGGGAGGTCACAGATTCATAGATTCCAAGACCAGCTCCTCTGGCTGCGGGGGACGCAGAAAGTGCCCCTCCAAAAGCGGACAAATCTTTATTCCTGGGCAGGCCCCTCTTGATTCAGAAATTGTCGGTGACGGATTATCCACCACGATGGCTGGGAAATTGCTCCAGTGTGAATTCCTCTCACCGCTACAAACGGAGGCCTCATTGCCAGTCTGAACGTGTCTGGCGTCAACTTCCTGCCATTGGATCGTCTTGACCTGGCTCTGCCAGCCCGAAGTGCCCATTATTAAATACGGGTTCCCCACGTACATACTTACAGACTGCGCTCATGTCACCCCTTAACCTTCTCTTCCTTAAGCTAAACGGCTGGGGCTCCTTCAGTCCGTCACCACAAGGCGGGTTCTCTAACCCTTTCATCCTTCTTGTGGGTCTTCTCTGCCCCCTCTCCAATTTATCCCCAGCCTGCCTGAACGGTGGCCACCAGAGCTGGACAGAGGATTCCAGCAGCGGCCGCACCAGAGCCCAGTCCAGAGGTGAGAGAACGTCTCTGCTGCTCCTCAGGACTCCCGTTTCTACGGCCCAGGATCGCGTTAGCCCTTTAGGCCACAGGGTCATACTGGGAGCTTGTCTTCTGCTGATTACCCACCACGACCCCCAATTCTCCTCCCACACCCAGGCCCCCTCCCCAGTGGATCTCCCTAAACCCTCCCATCCACCCTGCACCCCACTGTCTAGGAGCCCCTTCCCCATCAGGGTACAGGATCCCCTAGTCCCTGCCCTCAGGGTGGGGCGACCGCCCGCCTGGGGCAGACGCTTTCGGGTGCAGCCGTGCCCGGGCGGAGGGCAGCTTCAGCAGCACTCACGTAGGCGGAGGTGCAGACGTGGGCCTCGGTGTCGAAGGCCAGGAAGGTATCCTGGGGCACGGCCCTGCGCTTGGCCAGCACCCGCAGCACCAGCAAGTTGGCAGCTTCCAAGACGAGGCCGTGCAGGGAGGCGCAGTTGTAGGAGAAGCTCTGGGTCTGGGCCTCATGCTGCAGAGAGATGGGGGGGAAGGGGACTGATGGGGACCCAGCCTGGCACGTGGGATCCCCAGGACCCAGCATCCCAGGCTGGCTCTGCAACCGGCCTGCACCCCCAGAACAAGAGGGAGGAAGAAATTCACTGGCAACCACGGGGCCCCGGGCGGGGGGGGGGGCAACTCAGCTCCCGAGACCCCAGGCTGGCCCTGCTCGTGACACACGCTGAGCTGCTGCTGGGAGGTGGGCCCCCTCCTGCTAAGGAACCCCAGGCAGGGAGCCCTAGGATGATCGGGGCCCTGTGCTTTGGGGTTTGCCCCCTATTTCTCCCCACAGAAACCTGCGCCCCTAGTGAGACTTGCCACCCACACTCCGAGGCTGGGGGCCATGAACCCGCCCCCGACAGCTGACTCAGAGCACCCCCCGCAAGACCCTGAGGCTGCCCTGTTAGTGCAGCCAGACCTGCCCCCCACCTCTGCCCCCCCTCTCCGCCAGCACCAGCAGTGGGAGCCAGAGACGGGTGCAGGCGACGGCGCCCCCTGCTGTTTGGCCATGGGACAGCCGCAGCCCGTGGAACAGGCTTAGCAGGGCTGAGAGCATTTTTCAGGACAAACGGGTGTGTGGGATGGGGAGGGAAGCCCTATAAGGAGCTCCCCACCCCAGCGCTCTGCAGGGGGCCAGCCAGGCTTTCAAATCCCTGCAGACACAATCCCTGCCCTCACCTCTCCTTCCTCAATGATTTTCGTGACGACCAGCCTGCCTCCGCGCTTCACTACGTGGGTCTTTCTGTCCAGGGGGTGGGCTCTGAACTGCAAGAGGGAGCAAATACAGCAAAGTGAGGCATGCAGGGCAGGGGTGCAGGACCTGGCAGGGTGTAGGCTGCTATGGCCAGAGGTGTTGGGGGCATATCCCCCCTGGGGACAATCCGGCCTCCTGGGGTCTCATCTCATTGTTTCAATAAAGCCTGGATCCAGAGTGGCTCACCTGCTTGTTCCCCACTCAGACACCCAGCGAGAAGGGAACCAACCCTCATGCTTCAGTGCTGCAGGGATCAGGAAGGATGTTTCCATGGGCAGCACTGTATGACTGGCCCGGTGCATCATGGCAGGTTCCACCTTCTGAAGACACAGGTATTGGCCATTGCCCAAGGCATGGTGCCAGGCCATGGAGACCAATGGTTTGATCCAGGAGGGGTGCTGGCAGAGAAGCTGGGGCGATGGCCAAATCCAGGGTGTCTGGGGGCAGGATGGACCGGCGATCTGACCCAGAACAGCAGCGGCCCAGCTGTCTCTCCTGCCAATCATCCGCAGCACAGGAACCACTGTGAACGCTGCGATTCTGCCCTGAGTCAGGACGCTTGCCGCAGGGCCCAGTGACTCCTGGAGGGGCACGGAGCCACCTACCCCATAAAGGAGAGGGAGAGAGAAACACCCCCCGCCGGTGGTTGGAGCACCGGGGCGAGGAGCAGGCAGGATCCAGGTTCTAATTCCAGCTGAACCCCGACTCGCTGGGTAAGTCCCAAGACAGTGCTTCCAGCCCAGAGAGGACAGCTGAGGGGGCCAGGGACCTCTCTGGAGATCTACCTCAGGGAAGGCAAGGCTGCGAAGGAGCCAGATAACAGCGGGTTTATCTTGCCCTCTGCCGGCGACCGGGCAGTTACCTTCACGTATTCATGCTGATGCTGCTCCAGGGTTTCCAGCCGCTTTGATACATAAGCTGATGGAGAGGAAACAAAAACTACGCTCAGCCCAGATCATCGCCAGAGTTCCCCACCATCCCGCCTGCTGGCCCGGCTTGGTCCCTCTGGCCTTGACTGCAGGTGCCTTGGAAATGTACCGGGAGCCCAGGGCTTGCCCAGTATTTCAGGGAGTCCCGGCGCCCCGTCTGCCTGCCGCTGCCCAGCCCCTGCCCATGGGTGCCCCAGGGCGGATCCCAGCGGAGAGCTGTCCCTGCTAGAACAACAGGACCACCAGGGTGGGACTATTTGTCCACGTGCTCCAGCTGGCGGTGGACCTGTTTGCGCCGTTGCCTCTCGGCACCTTCAGCAGCACTGGTGGGAGCCAATTACATTCAGGCCCAGAACCGCGTGTCCGGATCTCCATGCCACGGACCGGCCCATTTTCACTTCTGGGGACAGTGGAAAAATCCTTGTTCCTTCTTGGCGGCCAATGGAGGGAGTTTCCTGGGATGTCCTAATGGTTGCATGCGCCATGCTGGAGGGGGCAAGGGCGGGGTCCCCCAGTCCCCTGGCCACAGGCGGGCAGGGGCTGGGAGTGCTGGCAGGTGCAAGACCTCATCTCGCTCGTGAGTGACGCCCGTCACCTGGTGATCTGCGGGGCGCCGGCCGCGGGTGCAGGGCCCCAGGCTGCAGTGCTGGAAGGAGGTGTGGGCCAGCTGGCGAGGGTCAGGCCTGCCCCCCGCGGGCGCTTACGGCCACTCCTGCCTCTTGCTGGAGCCAGATCGCAGGCACCAATGGGCCAAGGCTGGGCAGCACTTGCATCTCGTCTCGGCACGTGGGGCTGAGAGGATTGGGATGGGGGACCTCACCAGAGCAAGAGCGGCTGGGGAGGAAGGGAGAGAAATCGGGGCCCATCTGGCATCTCATTAGCGGGTGTCTCCCTACCCCAGCCTGCTCCCCCTTGCAGACACTGGCTCAGCGGCGCCTCCTAGGCCTACCCGTGATGGAGGAACTGCAGGGCACTTCGTTGACGGTGCTCTGGCTGGCGGCGCGGACCAGAAAGCAGTCCTGTTCCTGCCCGCCCTGCTCCTCGTAGCAGGCTGGCTGCACCGAAACTGAGAACTGCCCAAGCGGCTGGCCGCTCTCCGAGACCATGACCAGCGACTCCGCGAAGAGACAGGGGCTCAACTCCTCTGCGCCTGGGAGACAGGACACGACGACAGCCCAGGTCACTGCCACACCCAGACCTCCAGGGGCTCCATCCATTCCTCCCAAAGCCCCCAGTGTGGCTAGATGCCCCCCCCCCGCCAAAAAGTCAATCCTACTCCTCCCTCCTTCTGCCTGACCAAGGGTCTCAAACATCCATTAGTAAAGCCTCAGAGACCCACAAGGCAGGGTCGGTGTTACGGTGCTATGTAACACATGGGGAAACTGAGGCACAGCAGGAGGCAGGGACTTGCCCTAAAGTCACACAGGAAGGCTGCGGTAGAGCAGAGGGTCTGAATCCCAGTGCCTGCTCTGACCACTAGACCCTGCTCCTCGCAAGAGCCAGGAAGAGAACCCAGGAGTCCTGATTCTCAGTCCTGTCTGTTAGTCACCAGACCACCCATCTCCTAAGCACGCCATGGAGACGGAAGTCTTTCCCGTGCACACACATTGACAACAGTGTGTTTGTTGTGGGTTCCTCAGTAAACACATGAAAGGGAGTTCAGAAAAGAGTGAGAGGGGCTGATCAGCGGGCTGGAGGGATCAAGCCAGGGGGAGAGATTTAACAAGCTCTGTCTCACTTGGCCAAGGGGTTGTGGGGAAGGGATGGCAAATATCTCAAGGATGTAAATGCCAGGGGGTGAGATGGATTCTCTGACATACTCCAAGGGGAAGGCAGTACCGCAGTCAGAATGATCACAGAATCATAGAAATGTAGGACTGGACTGGACGGGACCTCAAGAGGTCTAGTCCAGTCCACGGCACTCATGGCAGGACTATCCCTGACAGGTGTGTGTCTAACCTGTTCTTAAAATCCTCCAACGACAGAGATTCCACAACCTCCCTGGGCAATTTGTTCCAGTGTTGCACTCCCCTGACAGTTGGGAAGTTTTTCCTTCAACCGAAACCTCCCTGGCTGCAATTTAAGCCCATTGCTTCTTGTCCTGTCCTCAGAGGTTAAGGAGAACAAGTTTTCTCTCTCATTCTAACAACCTTTCATGTACTTGAAAACTCTTCTGTCCCCTCTCAGTCTTCTCTTCTCCAGACTAAACAAACCCAATGTTTTCAATCTTCCTTCATAGCTCATGTTTTCTAGACCCGTGGTCTCCAAACTTTTTGGCTCACGCATCCTCGGGGTGAAGAACGGAGACTTACCGCAGGCGGGCCGCCGGAGGGGAACCCCAGCCGTGGACGTGCAGAGCTGCCGCCGAAGGGAGAAAAACGGCGGAGTGCCGTCCGTCGGTGCTCCTGCTGCCACGCACCCCCCGGGATCATCTCGTGCACCCCAGTTTGGAGCCCACTGTTCTAGATCTTTAATCATTTTGTCCTTCTTCTTCTCTGGACTTTCTCCAGTTTGTCCACATCTTTCCTGAATGTGGCGCCCAGAACTGGACACAAGGCTCCAGTTGAGGCCTGATCAGCGCGGAGGAGAGCGGAAGAATTAGTGCTCGTGTCTTGCTTACAAAACTCCTGCTAATAGAGCCCAGAAGGATGTTGGCCTTTTTTGCAGCAGTTTGACACTGTTGACTCATGTTTAGCTTGTGATCCACCAGGACCCCCAGATCCCTAGGCAGTCATTTCCCATTTTGTATGCGTGCAACTCCTTGTCCCTTCCTGAGTGGAGGACTTTGCATTTTTCCTTATTGAGTATCATCCTATTGACTTCAGACCATTTCTCTAGTTTGTCCAGATCATTTTGAATTTTAATCCTATTCTCCAAAGCACTTGCAACCCCTCCCAGCTTGGTATGGTCCTCAAACTATCCAAGTGTACTCTCTGTGCCATTAGCTAAATCATTTATGAAGATGTTGAACAGAATTGGACCCAGAACTGATCCCTGCGGGACCCCACTCGTTATGCCCTTCCAGCTTGACTGTGAACCACTGATAACTACTCTCTGGGAACGGTTTTCCAACCAGTTATGCACCTACCTTAAAGTAGCTCCATCTAGGTTGTATTTCCCTAGTTTGTTTATGAGAAGGTCAGCCTTACTAAAGTCGAGATATACCATGTGTACCGCTTCCCCCCCCATCCACAAGGCTTGTTACCCTGTCAACAAAAGCTCTCAGGTTGGTTTGATGCAATTTGTTCTTGACAAATCCATGCTATTACTTATCGCCTTATTATCTTCACGGTGATTGTAAATCGATTCGGATGGGGCAGAGCAAAGGGACAGGTAGGCTAGCAAGAAACATTTGCTAACACAGATTTCTGTGAAGGACAACCCTGCCTTGACCCCTGGGGATGGTCCCAACCCAGCCTTCCCCTATCTTTGACATCTACAAAACACGCAGGTGTGAGTGGGCATCCCTCGCTGCAACCGGAGGGAAGTTGGCATTTAGCGAAAGCCACAACAAATGCGCCATTGTAATCGAAACCACAGCAACCTCAAGAGATGGGGTATCAGCCACAGCAGCATCTCAGGCAGAAGTGAAACCAGAAGAATACACAGTGGGATGCTGACAATGTGATCAACTCCAGCACCTGCAGCAACTGGAGGAAGGGTCGGGAGTCATGACTCCTGGGTTCTGTTTCTGACTCTTGCCGGGGAGTGTGATGTTGAGGCGAGAGAGGGGGCTGGGAGAACTAGGAGTCCTGGGATCTGTTCTTAGTTCTATCACTGTCTTGCCACCTGACCTCTCTCTCTGCCTCAGTTTACCCCACCATAAAATTAGATGGCAGCATTCCCCTAACAGAATAGTAATAAAATAATAATCATCTGAGTTTACACAGCAAACTGGAAATAGCTGAGTTTCACAACTAGGGCAAGTTGAAAATTTTTCATGGAAACTGAAAATTCAGCTTTTCACGGAAAGTGCCTGCCTTCCACCTTTTGATTCTTTATCAGAAAACTGAAAACTGAAATAGTTCCTTTCCTGAGGTGCCTCCTGGGTGTTGTAGTTTGGGAGACTCACGCTCCTATTCTCCTTGATGCACCCCTCCCTGAGAGGGGAGACCATGGTGCATCATGGGAGATGTAGTTTGACCAGAGAGCCCAGACAATAGAGGAGAATAAGAGTGGGACGCATCGGAACTACAATACCCAAGAGACACTGCAGCAGCAGCTCGGATTCCAATTTTTCACCAAAAACTTGACATATATTTTCCATAGGGGAAAAAAACATTTTGTGACCAACCCTCCTCACAATCCCTCGGTGCCAGGGAGAAGCCTCATTACTCCCATTTCACAGATGGGGGAAACCGAGGCACAGCAGGGGGGTGTGATTTGGCCAAGATCACCCAGTGAGTCTGTGGGGCTGGGAACAGAATCCAAGTCTCCTGCCTTCCAAACCCCTCACTGATAGGGCTGCTGAGGGTTAATTATTGCTGGGAAGGGCTCTGCAATCCTCCCACGTAAGTACAAAGTACTGTTATTATTCTGCAGAGCACCGCGAGAGGAGCAGCGGGGACTGGGGCGGGGTGGGGTGGGGGAGTAAAGGCAGGCTGGGGAGCCCAATAAAGACCCCTTACGGATGGGAGGCCAGATAGGAGACTGACTCTTCAGTGCGTCACCTAATGATCTTTAAAAGAAACGCAGCGATAGTTTTGCTTGTCAGACGGTGACACCCTGGTGCAGCCTGGGACGGTGCGCACCACAGACAGGCCGCTATCCTGTGTGCCATGGAGTAGCTGCGTTAGCTGTAAATCAGAGGCCTTTCCAGCCCCTGGGCCCAGCCACTAGAGAACGACACGGTCTCACACACACGCATGCACCAGACTCCCACGCCACCCCAGAATCACTGACACGGGTGCCAGTAAACAGGCCGGGGCCTGAGAGCATGCAGGTTCTGCCGTCAGATGTTCACGGCCAGACACGGCTCTGCCGGCAAAGTCACACGTCCACATACCCAGCCCCGAGGACGAGCGCCGTGGTGCTCGAAAGCGTGTCTCTTTCACCAAGAGCAGCTGGTCCAGCAAACGATATTACCTCCCGCACCCAGCCAGCAGCATTCATGGCTCTGCACGGGGTCACAGGGGGCCAGGTGAGCGGCTGGAAACGTGTTCACAGGCTCCCCTCCATCACGGGGGGCGACCGCGGCTGAGCAGCGAACCCCTCACCCCGCCGGATAACGGCGACCCGAGCAGCACCCACCGATGAGCGAGAGGAATTCAGTGGCCCCCTCGCTGGCTGCTAGGACCCTCTGCACCCGCGCTGGCGAGTCGGCATCACCCATCCCTTGGTGAAGAGCCGGGCGACGCTTTCAAAGTCAGAGGAGTCAGCTCAAAACCCCCACGGCTGGAGGCCCTGCGCGGGAGAACCAGTGAGACCCCTGTGCATGGCCACAGGGGAATCACCCCTACCCCTCTGCGCACGGCACCGAGGAGGGACCCCCATCCAGGCCTCCATCCCCTGAGCCCTCCATGCAAGCCCCAGATAGAGCCCTCCCCACAACTATCCAGCCCCCCCAATGGAGCACCCCCCACCCTCTGTGCACACCCCTGAGGGGGAACACCCCCACCCAGGCCTCCACCCCCTGAGCCGTCCATGCAAGCCCCAGATGGAACCCTCCTCCCAACCACCCAGCCCCCCGAGGGAGCACCCCCCCGCCCCATGCGCATGACCCCAGGGGACCCCCTTTTTCATGCAAGCCCCAGATCGGGCCCTTCCCCCAGCCCCACCCCAGGGGAGCGCCCCTAACCCTCCATTCAGGGCTCACAAGGAGCCCCCCCCCAAAGACCGCACGCAGAGCCCGGAGTGACCCCGAAATCCCTGGCCAGGGGGAACCCCACGTGGCTTGGGGAACCTCCCCCACCCCACGCGCGGCCCTCGCCTGCAATGTATCCAACGGTCTCCGCAGCAACCGGGCCCGCCCCGCCTCTTAAAGGGACAGGACAGCCAGGAGTGGGTCAGGTCCCATGGGGGAGGCAGCCCCCCACTCGTGTTCGCGGGGTGGGGTTTGGAGGGGACCCCGTAGTGGGGAGAGGTGCGGTTCGCAGGGCAGGGGGGCTGGGCATGGGCTGCCCCATCCCTGGGGGCTGCGAGCGGGGCTGGCCCAGAGCCTAAGGCAGGGGGCAGCTGGAGAGGGGCTGAGGCTGCGGTGAGGGGCGCTGCAGAGAGCCCTGGGATGGATTCACAGCTCCCCCGGCAGCCCCCCTCTGTGCCTCGCTGGGGACCCTCTGGGGTGTGCAGTGGGGCAGGGTGTGCACCGTTGATCGGGCCCCCGCCCCCAGCAGCAGCAGCTGCCCCCTCCCTCAGGCATCTCACCTCAGGGGAGTCACCCAGGTCAGACAGGCACAAAACACCCCTCCGCAGCCTCCTGGTTTTCGCTGGGCTCCCATGGCTTACGGAGCCCCCCTCTTCTGTTCACAGGGGGGATCTGGCCAGATTCCCAGCCCACCTGCAACCTCCGGCCTGGCTTGTGCATGACATAGTCCTCTGTTAGTGACTGGGATCGCTTTGCATAAACTAATGGGTGTGACATGTGCGTGGTGTGTTCCCTACTCTGTGCTAGTGGGTATCAGAACTGGTCAATTGTGTGTCATATGCCCCCTACTGCTGGCAGATAAGGGAGATTCTCTTTCAGCTCAGCTGGCAGCGGCCTCCTGTGCTTTTAGTGTGGGAGTTCTGTCCCGTAGACACCCACGAAGCTCTGACTGCCCCTGCTGTTCAGAAGAAAACCAGGCAGGCCCAGATATTCACAGACTGAGGTAGCTCAGCAAGGCTCAGCCCCTGCTATCCGGGTGCTACGTCTGGCAGAGCGGGTGGCTGGCCCCAGGGACAGCTCAGCTCTCACCCCAGTAGCCAGGGGCTACTCGATCTTAGGAGACCACCTGGCCATTCCCTCCCTTGTCCCTCGGGTTAGGAGCCCCCTTGTGCTTGCTCAGCAATCCCACTGCATTCCCCGGCGCCCTGCTATTGCGCCCTCCCTGCCACGAGCTCCAGTTCAGCTCACCAGGGATGGGACCTGGGCTCTCCATGACGGGGGTGGGGGAACCTTCCACCTTGCCGGGCCCCCAGGAACCTCGGGGCTGCCCCCCCAACAGAACAGGTCACAGCCACCCTCCCTTCGAATTCTGAGCAAGGAGACCCTGGAGCCTACGGCTCCCAGCAGGCTGTTCCCCTCACTCCCCTGGATCTGCGGCAACAGATACTGGATCTAGCTCAGATGCAGACTGAGCGATCTAAGAGGCTTTTCCCATCACTACCACATAGGATCCCAGGAGGAGGAAGACGAGGTGTCATGCATACAGGTTGAGGTCTCCCCTCTAAGTGCCTCCACGGTTCATTAACCACTCCATGGTGGCCTGTTCTGTTCATTCGCACTGGGCACCGGCCACTGTCAGAAGACAGGATAGGTTGGATGGACCATTAGTCTGCCCCACTATGGTCGTTCTTATGCCAACTATGCGTAGCACCCCGCAGCCCCCCAGATCAGTCCACAGTTCCTTGGTGAATACCCCGTGCCCCTCGGCTTCCTTGACCCATAAACTAGCAGCCAGTCCTAAAATGAGGAACGTGGGAGAACAGCTGGGCTGGGGGGGGGGGGGTGAGAAGGGAGATTAAGATGCAGAAGGTTAAATTTCTCCCTCCCTTTATACTGTGTTTGGTGGCATTTATTTCACAGGCCCAGAGTACTCCACTCCTTCCCAGCACAGATGTCGGCAGAATCGGAGGAGATGACTCAGGGTGTATTTGCAAAAACTGAGACCTCACTTTGCTCAGGGCTGATGTTGAAGCAGGAATTGACGTCAATAAAATGATGGGGTCTAAATGAGCTGTTACCACTCAAGAGAGAGATCTTGGAGCCATCGTGGATAGTTCCCTGGAAACATCCACTCCGTGTGCAGTGGCCGTCAAAAAAGCGAACAATGTTAGGAATCATTAAAGGGATAGATAAGACCGAAAATATTATGTTGCCTCTGTATAAATCCATGGTACGCCCACATCTTGAATACTGCGTGCAGGTGTGGTCACCCCATCTCAAAAAAGAGATATTGGAATTGGAAAAGGTTCAAAAAAAGGGCAACAAAAATGATTAGGGGTATAGAACGACTGCCATATGAGGAGAGATGAATAAGAGTGGGACTTTTCAGCTTGGAATGGAGACGACTAAGGGGAGATATGAAATAAGTCTAAAATCATGACTGGGGTAGAGAAAGTAAATCAGGCAGTGTTATTCACTCCTTCTCATAACACAAGAACTAGGGGTTCACCAAATGAAATTAATGGGCAGCAGGTCTAAAACAAACAAAAGGAAGTATTTCTTCACACAACGCACAGTCAACCTGTGGAACTCCTTGCCAGAGGATGTTGTTGTCACGGAGTCCCTGGGCGATGTTCTGGAACTGCTCCCCATGAAGCCAGGTAGGACTCTGGGGCAGTCTCCTTTCTGTGAGCAGCCTGTCTGCAGGACACACAGCTCACACAGCTTCCACCTTCCTGGGTCTGACCTCGGAGCATTCAGCATCCTCTGCCCCTCCGTGCCCTTCCCACAGCGAGTCCACTCAGGCGGGGCTCCTGGGGAAGCCAGAGGGTCCTGCACCCCAACTTTGCAGTCAGACGTGACTCTCAGCCAGGCAGTAACACAGAGGTTTATTAGACGACAGGAACATGGTCTAACACAGAGCTTGTAGGTGCAGAGAACTGGACCTCTCAGCTGGGTCCATTTTGGGGCCAGTGAGCCAGACAACCACGTCTGCCCTTCACTCCATGTCCCAGCCAGCCCCAAACTGAAACTCCCTCCAGCCCCTCCTCCTCTGGGCTTTCCCCTTTCCCGGGCCAGGAGGGCACTGGATTCCTTTGTTCTCCAACCCTTTAGCTCTCACCTTGCAGTGGGGGAAGGGCCCAGGCCATCAGTTGCCAGGAAACAGGGTGTCGGCCATTCTCTGTGTCCAGACCCCTGCACACCCCTGCCCTCTAGGGCTCTGCAATGATCATACCCCCTTATCCCACCCCCTAGCTACTTAAGAACTGCCTAGGGGAAACTGAGGCACCCCCACACTATTCAGAGGAACCATTAAGAACAGTCCCACTTCGTCACAGTTGTGAAGGCCAAGACTATAACAGGCTTCAAAAAATAACTAGATAAGTTCCTGGAGGATAGATCCATCAATGGCTATTAGCCAGGATGGGCAGGGATGGTGTCCCGAGCCTCTGTTTGTCAGAAGCTGGGAATGGGTGACAAGGGATGGATCACTTGATGATTCCCTGTTCTGTTCACTCCCTCTGGGGCACCTGGCACTGGCCACTGTCGGAAGACAGGATATGGGGCTAGATGGACCATTGGTCTGACCCAGTCTGGCCGTTCTTATATTCTTAGGCCCAGTTATTTGTGGTTCCCAATTCCTTATTCAAAGGCCAAAATCTTTTTAAAAAATTCCAATAAGGCCCTGGGTTTTGACTGGCTCTGTGTGACGAAGCACTTCCAGGGGCTCCTGACTGACACGTCCCTGCCTCCACGACACCATTAACCAGAGACAAGGACCTGCCCCTCCCAACACTGAAGCTTTCATTTCTGGCCCAAACTCCGCTGAGTCTCATACCCACATTTCTACCGGGCATTTTCTTTGTTAGTAACCCTACAATAGACAGGGATAAAGCACCAGGCAGCCAATGTGTTGCCTTGCCATGGCCCAGCTACTTTAGAACAGCCTAATGGTGGCAGAGATGTGTCGGGGGTGTGGGGGGGGAACCTGAAAAATATTTTGTCACATACTCCAGCTCTTTATTCAGCTAGTTAATTAACAAATAATTACTAATTTGATTGAATTTTATAATAATCATGTTCATTTAGGTGAAATTACTACAAATTTAATCTTACATGGAGGACATGAAAAAATAAAAAGGTTGGCCTTTGAATAAAGAATGGGGACCTGTGGATAAAGCACTGGGACCAGCTTCAGCCTGTGGGACACACTAGGGAGACAGAGAGCGGCCTCAGTCATCCTGGCAGAGCCGGTGCTAAAGAGGCTGCAGGGAGAGGGAAGCGTCACAAGGGGGAAGCTGCTCCCCATGAATTGTAAGGAGGGACCCACACAACAGATTCAGAGATTCCAGGCCAGCAGGAACTGTTGGGTTCCTCTCGTCTGATCTCCTGCATAGCAGAGGCCAGAGACCTGTCCCCAGATCATTCCTTCAGAACTAGGACATGTTTGAAAAAACATCCCATCTTGATTTTAAAACTGCCAGTGATGGAGAATCTGCCATGCCCCTTAGTGAATTGTTCCGATGGTTAATTATGCTCACTGTTAAAAATTTACACCTTATTTTCAGTCTGAATTTGTCTAGCTTCAACTTCCAGCCATTGGATCGTGTTAGCCAGTGATTCTTAACCTTTACTGCAGCCTGCACCCCTTTGGTTCTCAAAATATGTTCTTGCCCCCCTTAACAAAAATCGTTGGGAGTAGGTCAGTTCTTTAAACCTAGATATATTTTTTGTTTGTATATTTCAGGAATCATGTATCATGTTAATAAAGACATAGGTCTGATGAACCAAAATAGTTGTACTTACGTGCCTGTACTTAATTTGTTTCAGAGTAACAGCCATGTTAGTCTGTATTCGCAAAAAGAACAGGAGGACTTGTGGCACCTCAGAGACTAACCAATTGATTTGAGCATAAGCTTTCGTGAGCTACAGCATCCGATGAAGTGAGCTGTAGCTCACGAAAGCTTATGCTCAAATAAATTGGTTAGTCTCTAAGGTGCCACAAGTCCTCCTGTTCTTTTTACTTAATTTGTGTTTTCGATGATTTACCTTCTAAAAAAATCTGGCCTGTCTCGCACCCCCAGAAAGGGCATCTCACACCCGCAGGGAGTGCGTGCACCCCAGGTTAAGAACCACTGTGTTAGACCTTCCTCTGCTAAATGGGAGAGCCCACTGTCAAATATTTGTTCCCCTTATAGGTACTTTTAGACTGTGATCAAGGCACCGCTTAACCTTCCCTTTGTTCAGCTACACAGATTGGTCCCTTGGAGTCTCTCACTCTAAGGCAGGTTTTCCAGTCCTTTAAATCTATTTCCCCATGTTAAGTATCCTCACACCTTCTTGTCAACTGTCTAAATGGGCCACCTTGATTATCACTACAAAAGTTTTTTTTCTCCTGCTGATAATAGCTCATCTTAATTAATTAGCCTCTTACAGTTTGTATGGCAACTTCCACCTTCTCTGTATGTATATATATATCTTCTTACTGTATGTTCCATTCGATGCATCCAATGAAGTGGGCTGTAGCCCACGAAAGCTTATGCTCTAATAAATTTGTTAGTCTCTAACGTACCACAAGTCCTCCTGTTCTTTTTGCGGATACAGACTAACATGGCTGCTACTCTGAAACTAGTCCTTTAAATGATTCTCGTGGCTCTTCTCTGACCCCTCTCATATTTATCTACATCCTTCTGGAACTGCGGACCCCAGAATTGGACACAGGATTCCAACAGCAGTCACACCAGTGCCAAATCCAGAGGTAAAATTAACCTGTCTCCTACTCGCGCTTCCCAGTTATCCATCCCAGGCTCGCATTTGGCCCCTTGGCAACAGCATTGCATTGGGAGCTCGTGTTCAGCTGATGATCCACCATGACACCCCCACCCCCCCAAGTCCTCTTCAGTCTCTGCTTCCCAGGATCGAGCCGCCATCCTGTACGTCTGGCTGCATCCTTTGTTCCTCAATGGATACGTTGCATCAACCCTGCCCACCAGCCACCTTTCTTCCACTGCACAGCGCTCTAGATCCTTTCAGCCCCCTTACGCCAAGCATGCTCTAGGCCCCTGCAAGGGCCTTACCCTTAGGGAGAATCCACTGGGAGACCTAGACTCCTTCCCCAGCCCGCAGGGCAATGACTCCCCTTTGCAAGAGAGAGAGCCAGTCAGGTGGGGAGCTTAACAGGGGGGAGTTGCTTCTTCAGCACCATTAAAAACAAAACCACATTTCCACGATGCCGCAGCTACGCTGTAAACAGCTGACCAGAGACGTGAGGGCGACGCTAGAGAGGCCTGGGCTGATCAGTACTGGGGTGGGAGACTCCCAGGGGAAAACCCACGGTACATGGCAGCGAATGAGACCTGTGAGTCAGCAGAGGGCGCTCTCCTCCCCACGTCCGTGCCGATTCTAATACCCCAGCCTGGTACCAGGGGGGGATGTGTGGGGCTGAACAGGGGGCACACTCCCCACTGAGTGTGTGCGGACCCCAAGCAGGGCGCTAGGGGGCACTGTGCTGATGGACATGCGCCGCTTTTGGCGGAGACAAGCCCAACGCCTCCTCCCCCAAAGGCGCGGCAGGCGGCCAAGTCGATGGTTCAAAGTTTACCCCAGCTGGGGTGATGCCTGGCAGAGCCAATTTGGAGGCCTCTGCCTCCGCTCTTCCCGGAGATCCCCACCTCGCCCAGAGCTGAGGAACAGCAGCCTTGCGACTTCCGAGAACCCCCGACACCGGGGAATAGGTGGGTCAGCTGCTGCACCCTCGGCCCCACCCTCACCTCCAAATCCATGCGAGACGCTGCTGTCGAAACCCCCTTTCTCGCTGCTCCCCCTTCTCCATCGCATCAGCGACAACTTGCTGCCTCTCTGAGACCCTGCCTGACAGTCCCCTGCCACACCCCTCAGCTTCATTACCCTTGTGCTTCTGCTGTGCCATCCATACCAGCCTCGAGTGCCCCCTTGTCCTCTTCTCCCATGAGCTCTCCCAAGCGGCCCCTTGTCCACGGCACGAACTCCATCCCCCAAGTCAGACAGCCGCAGCCTTCTCCGCCAAAGCCCCCGAGCCTCACGGCAGCCACGGCAGCCCCAGAGCCTTGGCAGCTGGTCCTGGCGAGGCAGGTGATCTCCGCTGTCCAGTCTACACACCATTAGTCCCATCCCATTTCCTCCTTTGCATCATCCCCGCTGTCTGGTCACTGCCGAGGCCTGGGCAGGCACACGCTCACCTTCGGGCAGGTCTCTACCTGCCGGCGTTTAAACAACACCACAACCAAGGTTGTGCCAAAGGGCTGGGTCCCCCACACCGGGTTAACTGGGAGAGGCAGCTCTGTGGGGTCAGATCCGCCGGTTTGGTGGGGATGGGGCCCCCAGACACACTTGGGATTGACGATACGCGCTCCGCAGCTCTGTGCGGGTGGCTACAGGACAAAGGGCAGACGCCCAGAGACGGACCCCTGGGAGTGGAGGCGGGAACAGCTAACCCCGTATCTCTAGCCCCACTGGTTCCCGGCAGGGAGTTGTCTGGACAGGAACCAGGGGCCATTTACCTGGCCAAGTTTCCCTGCTGATGAAATTTCACGCCAGTTAAAGGGGCTGGAAGGCAAAGGTCGCAGGTCCACAGCGCAGATCCAGCGAGGCCGGCAGTGGGGACAGTTTCCCTCAGCCCCTGGGGGAGGCCAGTCTGCCTGGCTCAGTCATGGCCCTGGCTCTCTCCCCTGAGCAGAGCACTAGCCGCCCACCCCCCAAGTCCCATTGATGCTAACGGGCGCTGCAGGTGCTCACTCCGCCGGAACACAGGCCAAAGGGGCCAGCTGGAGCCCACCCCCCCTTCCAGCCTGGGGGACCAAGGGGCACTGGAGGCCACCAAGAATCACCAGCCCACCACAACCATCCCCCCCCCCCGCCCCCACCCTGTCGCTGGCTGCCTCCAGGGCTTGTGTAGCCTCCTCACCGTCCTGCACAAATCTGCCCTGGCCTGCAGCTCACCTCTGGGCGTTGTGCCCCTCCGCTCCGCGCCCGCTGTGATCTGCCAGCTGGAGATCCCTCCCACCTCTCCTGGTCCCCTCCCACCCTGCACCCTCAGTCCCTGGGGGTCTGCCCCCCTTACACTGAGATCCCGGCCTGCCCCACACCAGGGGGAGAGAGAATGCTGAAGACCCCATGCTAACCCCTGCCCTGCGGCCCAGCTGGCTTGGTTAGCTCATGAAGGAGCCCGTCCATTGAGAACATCGATAACAGGCACGGGGAAGGAGTTTTCCCACCGGGCATTGGCAGGAGGCTGCGGGGGTGAAGGACTCCCTTCCCCTGGATATCGGCTCCCTGTAGAGAGACAGCCCATTTCACACACACACACCTGCCTCAGAAAACGGGCCTGGCTTATCCCCAGGGACAGGCCAGAGGCCAGTCAAGGCTAGCGAAGTTGCATGAAGGTTGGGAAGAGCGAGTAGGACATTGCACTACTGACCCCAATCTGGAAGATGCAGCAACCCGTTGGTTACAGGATCGGAGGGGCAGGGGCCTTGTTAAAGGACCCTGGAGAATGGGCTTTGCCCGTGTTTCTCCTATTTCTCATTCCATCAACGAATGCAGCTTCTGGGGCAGAGGGAGGGAAGCGGGGAGCGGAGTGTAAAGGCTTAAGCTCACCTTTTCTCTGTGGAGCCCAGGGATCGGCCCCTGCTGCAGGTCACCAGTGAAGCGAATTTGCTGGCCTCAGACTGGGCACACAGGAAAACCAGATGGGATCCGATGGGGATGAAGCCCAGAGGGGTCTAGAAGATACTCTGCATCCCATAGCCTAGCCCAGAGCATGGCTTGAGCCACTCTACAGAATTCGAGAGCGTGGGCTGGAATTCTCTGCTCAGTTCCGAGGTTGGTTCAGTAACCTAGAAAGTGGCTCTTCCTCTGTTCAACTTGATGGGATCATCCCAACGGGGAGTCTGTCCATATGACACCCCCCCACACACACACACACTCCACTTCAGCATGACTGGCAGCCTCACGTCGGGAGGGGCAGATGAGAGTAACGGGGATGCCCCAGGACTGAGTGGGTCTGCGGCCCAGGAGCAAGGCTGTGACCCTAACAGCAGGCGCAGGCTGGGGGCTGGCACGGAGACGCATTGGCACAGCGGTGCTGGGGGGTGTCCCAGTCCGTGCCTGCCTTTCGCCGGTGCTATTACTCCCTCGCTGTCATGAGCACAAAGTTCCCTGTGTCTTGACAGGCCAATCGCACGAAACAGTAAAACTGAAGGGTTGCTTTACTGGCATTTTTACAATCCACAGCGAACACTGAACACTGAATACAAGAGGCGTCACAATCCCAGCCCATCTCCGAGCGCCGGGAGCAAAGGGGGTCAGCTGAAACCTGCCTCCTGACCTACTCCACACCCGCTGTCTCCAGTGCTGCCTGGCTCAGCTAAGCCTCACAGTTTGGAATCGTTAGTGGCGATCTATTTCCAAGCATAAGAGAAAGGGAGGGGGGGAAAAAAACAGACTGAATAAATCCTGACCTAGTGTATCATCTCTAACACTGTGCTTCTGCGGCGCTGCCCAGCCCACAGGGAGCCCCACAACCACTGTCAGGAGGTAGTTGCCCTATTTCACGGATGGGGAAACTGAGGCACAAAGTGCTGCGACCTGTCCAAGGTCACCCAGCAAGACCTGGGAAAGGAACCCCACTGTCCTGTCCTCTGGCCACTAGACCATGTTTCCCTCCCCGATGTGGCTGCATTTTTATCAAGGGAGTGTCGATAACGATATAAACCCCAAGAGCAAAGGTAGAGTCACCAGAACCCAATGGAGAAACCCACATCCTGACCCAGCTCCGCTTAGTGCTTACAGAGCGTAGGGCTTTTACATCTCCAAAACCCTTCACACGGAGTCATGAACTCGTGACTTCCCTGGGAGACTGGGAAGTAGGGTCATGATTTCAGCGGTGGGGAAAACTGAGGTACCGAAGTGGGAAGTGACTAGCTCTACAGGGAATCAATGGTAAAGCCAGGAATAGAACCCAGGAGTCTTGACTCCCAGTCCCTCAACCCCCTCCTCTAACTACTAGACCCCAGAGCCAGGAATAGAACCCAGAGAATGGGTTGGAAGGGACCTCAGGAGGTCATCTAGTCCAACCCCCTGCTCAAAGCAGGACCAGTCCCCAATTTTTGCCCCAGATCCCTAAATGACCCCCTCAAGGATTGAACTCACAACCCTGGGTTTAGCAAGCCAATGCTCGAACCACTGAGCTATCCCTCCTGGCTCTCTGTCCTCCACTCACCTGACTTAGCTACCTCCCCACTTGCAGACAGGGAGAGTGAGCTATTGGTAACATCTGACATTAATGAGAACCTCCAAGCCCCGAAACGTCCTGTCCCCTCACCCGCTGGCGTTGCCCCTCCAGCCCCTACGATGTGGCTTTTCAAATAACCAGGTCAGTTCAATGCACTAAATCCACCTTAAACTCCCCTTTTCCAGCCCCTCTACAGAGAAACACCCCTGCAATCAACCAACCTCCATCATGCGCTGCACACTTAAAAGCATGTGTCTGCAAACATTTATCCCCCACTGCAGCCTCCATGGGGACAGAGTTGTTTATAACTAGGCCCTGGGCCTGTCTATCCAAATGCTAAGCGGGGGGTGCTCTTTGTTCCCTGGATGAAAGGTGAATTCACCCCCACTTGTTGAACACCGCCCATTCTCTCCTAATACAAAACCCTTGTGCATCCTCTTATACATTGCGTTCATTGAAAGTGAAGGGCAGCAAATGTAACCCGGTGCATTGTGCGAAAAAGTATTTCCTTTGATCTATGTAGCCAGTGGAACTCATTGCCACAAGACAGCATCGAGACCAAGAGCTTTCCAGGATTCAATACAGGGTCAGACATTTATACGGATAAGAACATTGCAGGTTAGATTTCCTTGGTTCTTTTCTGGCCCTTCCCCTCTGAAGAGGTTTGGTTTACTAGATGGATCCCTTTTTGGGGTCCATCGTAAACAAGGGGACCATGGAGGCCTGGCCCCACTGAAGCCAATGATAACAGATTCCAATGGGCCCACAATTTCACCCTAAGCAAGCATCCACACTAGTTTCCACTCTGGTTGCCCAAGCCCGGTATCCTGTCTCTAACAGTCACCAGGACCAGCTGCTTCAGAAGAAGGAAGAACTCCCCCAGTGGAAAATTTGGGGACAATGTGCGCTTGGAGGAAGTTTCCCCTAACCCCGGCAGCTTGAGGTTGGCTCATGGCCTGAGAGACCCAGCATTGTGCCCCACCCCGTGTAATTGTGGCTGTTCTCAGCCCCAGGAATGGCTGACCCTTGGCCATCCACCCTGCTAAGCTCTTGGTTTCACGGTGATCTCCCAGCAGCAAATTTCACAGGTTAGTTTCCTTACAGGGGTTTTAAAATTCACTGCCTTTGCAATGGGGCTGGACACCCCTGCATTCTCGTCTTCCGAGAAGGGCAAATGGGCGCAGTCAGGGGGAGGAAGCAGGCTGGGTCTCATGGCCCTAAATGGATTCACCATCACAAGTTCGATCAAAATGCAAAACCCTCAACGGGCGAGGGTTTGAAGTTTCCCAGGGAACGTTTCACACTCGGCCCTGATTTAAAGCCACTGGGGCCTGCAGGCTGGGTTCGAATGCAAGGCAGGTTTCTTGCTCCCTCAGCTGGGGCTGCTAAGGAGGCAGGCTGCTCTGCCCCAGGGGTTTGGCGTGGTTCCGAAGGGGCCCCCGTGGGCTCTGAAGGGAGGGGTGTGTTTCTCCCAGCCCCCAACGACCTCCAGAGCAAAGGGGGCAGGCGTAGAACCATCACCAGGCTGGCGAGCTGTGCTATAAACTCACAGGATCCTTGTGCTTGGACTGGGGACCAGAAAATCCTTTAGGACGTAACCCCCAAAACACAGACACACTCCACCCCCCTCCACACACACACACTCCCCACACCCCAGTTGCATGGAGCAGGTCTTGCTTCAATCGGGGAACCACCACCACCACCACCAAAGTTAACACACAGACCTGAAGGGAAGCCACCAGCCGGCCGGGGGGGCAGGCCAATGGCACAGCTTCATCCTTGATCCCTGCCAGCACGGCTGTGCCCGTCCCCGTGCTGCAGGGAGAAGGCGGCTGCCAGGAACGTTCAGCGCCGTGTGTGTGTGTGTGTGTGTGTGTGTGTGTGTTTCCGTCCAATATCAGAGCTGGAGTCCGTGCAGCGGCGCCCCCGGCTGGTGCTTTTGTCGTGGTTCATCCTGGTCTCTCCCAGCCAGCGGGCGGGGGCGGGCGTGAGCTCACGGAGGAGTCAGCGGGGCCCCGAAAGCGGGGCCGGCTGGGACAGGACGCAGAGGAGATAACCGACAGACCAGTCGCGGCGCTGTCCCCGATGCCGCCTCGGGCAGCGCCCCTCCCCACACGCTGGGCTGCCAGCTTGGCTCGGGACCGGGCACTGCGTGAGGGATCTGCATTTCCTCAGGCTGCGAGCCTGTACTGGAGAGACCATGTGCACTTCACAGGCTAACCCCTGGGCCTGCACTTCCACCAGCCACAGTCCGGTCCCCCAGAGAAACAAAGTCACAGCCCTGCTCCCTGGAAAAGCTTTCCCGGGCACCCTTGCCAACGCCCCGCTCCCGCCCCCTAGCTATTCATCCCCAGCAGCCAGCGGCAATCAGAGGTCAGCAGCATGCTGGCACCATGTGGAGTCAGACGCCTCCTGGGGGTGGGTTGGGGGGGGGGTGTCATCCTGGATTTTACCACCTGCCCCCCATTCTTCTGTCCACCAGCAAGGATCCACTTTGTCTGGAGACGAGCCCTCTTGAGACAGCAGGGCGGGGCAGGATGGGGGGGATGCCAGCTGAACCCGCCTTTATCCACAGGGAGGAGGCGTTCCCGGCTCACGAACCCGCCCCATCGCTCTGAGGGGGTGAGACCCTTTCCCAGCCAGACACTCCCCACCCCAACAGGGAAGGTCACGCGCCTTCGGGAGGCTGCTCATGGGGCAGAGCCCTCCCGTCGCCCTGCCAGGGGGCTACTTGGCCTTGTAGACGTCCTTGCGGCACCGCACCTCCTTCAGCACCCGCGCCCGGAAGCTGTCCCAGTCCTCGCCACTCAGCCGCTGCAGCCCCAGGGCCCGGTGCAGCTCCCGGCAGTGGGTCCGCAGGAACGGGTTGTATTCCTTCTCCTCGCCGATGGTGGAGGGGCACTGGGGCGGGGAGAGACGGCGACAGGTCAGCACGCGTACAGCGGACCATGGCCTCCGACGCGCCCCGCGCAGAGCTGCAGCCCGTTGAGACTCCAGATCCCAGCATGAAAGAGGCAACGCACACTGCATGGCATAATCCCCAGAAGGGGCACCGAGCCTGCAGCCTGTTTGCATCCAAAATCCATAACTTCTCCAGCTCCTTTTACCTAGAGACCGGCTCCTATAAACCAGTTTCAAAGCTATTTCCCTTTACTATTTGGATTGTCGTAACCACAGCACTCCATTGTGCCTGGGGCTTGTTAGGATATAGATATTCAGGCCTGTCTGTAAAGGCCTATACTCTAAGAATTTAGGTGTATTCTTATCACTTGGCTAGTGATAGAGGTATAAAAGAAAGAAATCACTGTCTGCCGGTGTAAGGGCCTTCTCTTACTGTGACAGTTTGTGGCCCTGTGCTTAGGCTCAGGCCTTTGGCTAAGCAGCAGAGGCAGCCATAAGCTGGGAAGCGAACGGTCACATCCTCCCATTCCAAACTAGTCACATTGAAATAAGGTGCTATTGGGCTGTTAGGCACTATCAGGACAGGATTGTATTCCTATCACCTCCAGAGAAAGGGAAGTGCCTAGAAAATGTAAAAGGAAACTTAGTTTGATAGCATCCTGTCTGGCAAGAACTCACTTATCAATAGCTGGGATGTGAAATCCTCACTTCTGTATTGTTTTGTCATTATAGTTCCCACTTTGCTGTTGTTTGTCTGTATAATCTCTGTCTGGTTCTGTGATTGTTCCTGTCTGCTGTATAATTAATTTTGCTGGGTGTAAACTAATTAAGGTGGTGGGATATAATTGGTTACATAATCATGTTACAATATGTTAGGATTGGTTAGTTAAATTTCAGGAAAATGATTGGTTAAGGTATAGCTAAGCAGAACTCAAGTTTTACTATATAATCTGTAGTCAATGAGGAAGTGACTGGGTGTGGGTGTGGGTGTGGGTGTGTGAGATGGGAACAGGGAATGGGGGTAAGAAAATTGGAATCATGTTTTGTTAAAGGGGGAAATGGGAACAGGGAATGGGAGTAAGGAAGTTGGAATCATGTTTGGCTAAGGGCAGGAATGGGAACAGGGACACAGGTGTAAGGCTTTGTGGTGTCAGAGCTGGGAAGGAGGATACTAAGGAAGGAAACTGGAATCATGCTTGCTGGAAGTTCACCCCAATAAACATCGAATTGTTTGCACCTTTGGACTTCGGGTATTGTTGCTCTCTGTTCATGCGAGAAGGACCAGGGAAGTAAGTGGGTGAAGGAATAAGCCCCCTAACAGGGCTGTATAAACACAAGAGATTACTCAAATGCGGCTGCCTCTGCGGTGGGGTGTGGCAGCCGTATATAACAGCAACAGCAGCAAGCTCCAGCGGGGTTAGGATGGGAAGCCAAGACAGACCCCAAGTGCAGATGAAACCCTGTGAGGCGAATTTAGGAAGGTGGAATGGAATTACTCGGGGGCCCAGTGCAGAGACTGTCTGCCCTTAACAGTGGCCCCAATAGGGTCAAGACACATTAATGGGGTACAGGGAGGGTGTTTAGGGGTGCAGAGGGAGTGGACACTGCTGTGGCCTGTGCCCTACGGGTTATGGCTATCCAGCGAGCTGCAAATGCATGGGGAGCAGCTTGGGGGTGGGGGGCCTTCAGTGAATGAGGCAGGGACCATGGGGGCAAAGGGACCTGGCCCCTGCTTGCCAAGCATAACCCTTCAAATGCTGGATTTTGCAGGCAGCCGGCCGCATGGTGACAGATTAATATAGTGCAACATACAGCCGACCCCAGACAGCCATTCTCCTGGCCTTGCCCCAGCACCCGATTCCCTTTGGGTTCCTGCGGGGCGGGTGTGAATTCAAACCAGCCTGTGCCCCCCGCCCCCTGCCGCCAGGCTAGGAAGCAGCTGGATCCGAGCAGCAGGGGAAGCAGCACCAGCTTCCGGCCAGGTGTTTCCCAGCCCCGGCGCAGGGAGAGAGAGAGGGGGGAAGAGCCAGGAAAGCGGAACCGGGCCCCGTGCGAGGGGCACCTGCACCGGATGCCAAGGCCCGGGCGCACTCCCCCACCGGCACTCACCGTGCTCCTCTTCTCCAGCCGCTGCTGATTCACCCACTGCAGCTTCTGCTCCAGCACGGGGTTCTCCAGCTCCAGCAGGCTGGCAAACGTCAGGCAGTCCAGGGCATATTCGTGTCCTTGGGGAGCAGAGAGGGCAGTGAACGGGGGGGAGGGGGCTGGCCCGGGCTAGGGCTCCAGTTAAGAGCACGGACTGGTGAGCCAAGCACCCAGCAGGGAGCCAGGCGGCCTGGGTTCTATTCCCGCCTGTGCCGGCCCCTCGCCGGGCTTCTGCCTTATGGGACCATCACCTGCTTCCCTCCAGGGTGGCTGGGTGGGGCAGCCAAGGGGCCAGCAGATCGGCTAGAGACGGGTGAGGGGCATGGAGCCAAGGAAACCAGAGCTCTGGACAGAGCAGGAAGGTCAGAAGCAGCCGCGATGCCCCTCAACCCAAGTTCCCTCTACACTGTGTGGCCGGGCAGCTGCCTATTGAGCCCCACGCAGGGGCTCAGGTCAGCGACAGGGAGAGGAGCCTCTCCCCACCAGCCCCGCCATGGTCCTGCCCCGGACTTGCCAGGACCAGGGGAGAGGAGCCCCACCCTGGGCTCGGGCCAGGCCTGCTGGAGCTGGCGTGCCCAGGGGGAGGCACCCCTCCCCCAGCCCCAAGCTGCTGCTGCAAGAGAGGGCTGGGGGGGAGTCTTCTCTCCCCACCACAGCCCAGGGCAGCCTGCACCCCACACCCATCATCCCTGGCCCCACCCCAGAGCCCGCACCCCAGCCCTGAGCCCCCTCCCACACCCCAAACCCTTCATCCCCAGTCTCACCCCAGAGCCCGCATCCCCCCCACAGCCCAACCCTCTGCCCCCACCCTGAGCCCCCTCCCACACCCCAAACCCTTCATCCCCAGTCCCACCTCAGAGCCCGCATCCCCCCCCGCACCCCAACCCTCTGCCCTCGCCCTGAGCCCCCTCCCACACCCCAAACCCCTCATCCCCAGTCCCACCCCAGAGCCCGCATCCTACCCCAGCCTATGCCTTTTGTTATGTGCACTGATACGGAGGTGATGTGTCACATTCACTCCGCACATGGACGTAAGAAACGTGCGGGAACGCTGCCCTCAATCCCACCCAGCAGCAGCCCGCCCCGTTCTGCCCCAGCCTCGCCCCCAACCTGCCCCTCGGCCGTGGACGGATACCAGGCTCACGGCTGAGACCCCGGCCGTGCTTTGGCACCAAGTGGGCCCAGGCCCAGGAGCGGGGACTCCTTCCCCTCCTTGCAGGTCTAGGTCAGTGCCGCAGGCTGCCTTGCGCCCCCCTCCCCGGCGCTTTGCCGATGCAGCCGAGCGGGGACCCTCACCTGGTGCAGCGACCCCTCACCCTCGTCTCCCACAGCGGCCAGGCTGCGCTCCTGCCCCTGCAGCGCGGCCCCTGTGCAGCGGGACACGGAGATCGGGGGATTCCCCCGGCCTCTGCTCCCCCCCTTTCCCTGCCCCACAAACCCCACCCTCGAGCCTGCAGCCTGGCAGGGGGCGCTCACCTGGCCAGAGCAGCGTGTCCTCTGCCAGGTCCGCAGCTGTGTCCAGAGAGGTCAGCATGGTTTCCGGCGTCCCCTCGAATATCCGCCCTGCAAGACCGGGGGACCACATGTTACCGGGGAGGGGATGGCGGTCCCCACACACCGGGAGCCCCACGCACCGCAGGGCTCCGTTCCCTATTCTGCCCCAGCCTCGCCCCCAACCTGCCCCTCGGCCGTGGACGGATACCAGGCTCACGGATGAGACCCCGGCCGTGCTTTGGCGCCAAGTGGGCCCAGGCCCAGAAGCGGGGACTCCTTCCCCTCCTTGCAGGTCTAGGTCAGACCCAACCTGGGTCGCAGGCCAAGGGCCAACCCCCTCCCCCCATGAGGAGCTGTTTCGCTTGCCCCTCTCTCACGTGGGGTGTTTACAACCCAGGCCCCACGGCAGGGTCTTGCAGCCCCCACCCACCACCATGCCAGCAGTGCCCGAACTCCACAGGCCGCCCCACCCCCTCTCACACCTTGCTCCGCAAAGCGTCTGTGAGCGGCCCCAGCCCCCAGAGGATAATGGACTCTCTACTGCTGCTGCGGAGGGGGAGCGCCCCCCCGAGATCCAGGGGCAGAGACAGGAGCTTCTAGAGCCAGAGGACCTAAGTTTCGCCCCCGATGCTGCCAACGGGGCGCAGACCCCACTGTCCCCAGAGTGACGTGGGGCAGAGGGAGGTCGGGGGAAGGAACCAAAGAGCAACTGAGGGCTGGTTAGTGGGGCTGTTAGTCCCTGACAAAAAACAATGCCCCGGCCCCTCCTTTCCCCCAACACTAAAATGCAGCCCCCTCTGGGGAGGAACAGGGAAGCTTAGGGAAGCCCGACCTCATGCCAGCCACATCTTGTTCATCCTGAAGAGTGAAGGGAGGAAGCAGGTGGGCCCAACCCCCCCCCAATGAGCTGTGCCTCCCCCCCGCAGGGCAGTTACCATAGACAGAACCAAAGGAGCCCAGCTCACCGCAGCCCGAGAGGAAGAGGAGGTCTCCAGAGAAGAGGCAGGCCGGCCCCTCGAAGGGCTTCCCGTCCAGCACGTAGACCATGTGCCCCACGGTGTGCCCCGGGGTGAAGAGAGCCTTGAAGCGCAGCTGTCCCACGGTGACGGTCTCCTTATCCGAGAGGGGGCTGCACGGGGGCAGGACAGGAGGCTGTTAGGGCCCTGGGAGGATGCTCTGGCAGGGTGTGGAAGGCAGATGGATTGCTCTGGACTCTGGGGCCAGGCTGATCCCCTGACCGGGGGATGCCCCCGGCCCGCCCTGCGGACAGGCCTCAGCCGCGAAGGCTAGGCCAGCAGTGACCATCCATGCACTGGCCGCAGATCGGCCCACACGTGACATGAGTTTGGCAAGGCTCAGCCCAGCTCCCAGGGGACGCATGGCCCCGTCACCATCCCGAGGGGCAGACGCAGGAGAGAAGGCGGTGACGAAGCAGGGCTATGAAGACTGTGCTGCCCGCTCGCCCCGGAGGGTAGGGGAGGCCTGGGGTGGAGTCCCAGACCCTGTGGGCATGCGCCCCTCCAGTCCCCAGCCAGGGACCCAGCACCGCTTACTTGGTGAGCTCCGGGATGGCATCGCAGGCACTGCCATACACCCTGCAGGAGCCGTAACGCCGTCTCAGCGCCATGTTCCCCCCGCTGTGATCCCTGCACGAGAGAGACTGTCAGCTCCCCCCGCCAGCCGAGCCCCCCGCTCCCCCCGTGATCCCTGCACGAGAGACTGTCAGCTCCCCCGCCAGCCGAGCCCCCCGCCCCCCCGTGATCCCTGCACGAGAGACTGTCAGCTCCCCCGCCAGCCGAGCCCCCCGCTCCCCCGTGATCCCTGCGCGAGAGAGACTGTCAGCTCCCCCCGCCAGCCGAGCCCCCCGCCCCCCCGTGATCCCTGCACGAGAGACTGTCAGCTCCCCCGCCAGCCGAGCCCCCCCGCCCCCCGTGATCCCTGCACGAGAGACTGTCAGCTCCCCCGCCAGCCGAGCCCCCCCGCCCCCGTGATCCCTGCACGAGAGACTGTCAGCTCCCCCGCCAGCCGAGCCCCCCGCCCCCCCGTGATCCCTGCACGAGAGACTGTCAGCTCCCCCGCCAGCCGAGCCCCCCGCTCCCCCGTGATCCCTGCACGAGAGACGGTCAGCTCCCCCGCCAGCCGAGCCCCCCGCCCCCCCGTGATCCCTGCGCGAGAGAGACTGTCAGCTCCCCCCGCCAGCCGAGCCCCCCGCTCCCCCGTGATCCCTGCACGAGAGAGACTGTCAGCTCCCCCCGCCAGCCGAGCCCCCCGCTCCCCCGTGATCCCTGCACGAGAGATGGTCAGCTCCCCCGCCAGCCGAGCCCCCCACTCCCCCGTGATCCCTGCACGAGAGACGGTCAGATCCCCCCACCAGCCGAGCCCCCCGCCCCCCCGTGATCCCTGCGCGAGAGAGACTGTCAGCTCCCCCCGCCAGCCGAGCCCCCCGTCCCCCCGTGATCCCTGCGCGAGAGACTGTCAGCTCCCCCCGCCAGCCGAGCCCCCCGCTCCCCCGTGATCCCTGCACGAGAGACGGTCAGCTCCCCCGCCAGCCGAGCCCCCCCACTCCCCCGTGATCCCTGCACGAGAGACGGTCAGATCCCCCCACCAGCCGAGCCCCCCGCCCCCCCGTGATCCCTGCGCGAGAGAGACTGTCAGCTCCCCCGCCAGCTGAGCCCCCCGCCCCCGTGATCCCTGCACGAGAGACTGTCAGCTCCCCGCCAGCCGAGCCCCCGCCCCCCGTGATCCCTGCACCAGAGACTGTCAGCTCCCCCCGCCAGCCGAGCCCCCCGCTCCCCCGTGATCCCTGCACGAGAGACTGTCAGCTCCCCCCGCCAGCCGAGCCCCCCGCCCCTCCCACTGTGATCCCTGCACCACAGACTGTCAGCTCCCCCCGCCAGCCGAGCCCCCGAGCCCCCCCACTGTGATCCCTGCATGAGAGACTGTCAGCTCCCCCCCACCAGCCGAGCCCCCCGCCCCCCCGTGATCCCTGCACCAGAGACTGTCAGCTCCCCCCACCAGCTGAGCCCCCGCCCCCCCCCCACTGTGATCTCTGCACGAGAGACTGTCAGCTCCCCCCGCCAGCCGAGCCCCCCGCCCCCACTGTGATCCCTGCACGAGAGACTGTCAACTCCCCCCACCAGGTGCTCCTACCCCCAGCCGAGCCCCCCCACCCTCACGCCCCCACCGCTGTGATCCCTACACGAGAGACTGTCAGCTCCCCCCACCACCCTGCCTGGAGTCCCCTCCCACTCCCTGAACCCCTCATTTCTGGCCCCACCCCAGAACCCGCACCTCCAGCCCAGAGCTTGTACCTCCTCCTACACCCCAACCCCCTGCCCCAGCCTGGAGCCCCCTCCCATACTCCAAACCTCTTGGCTCCCCCCCCAGCCCGGAGCTTCCTCCTGCACCCCTAGCCCCTCATCCCTGGCCCCATCCCAGAGCCCGCACCCCTCTCGCACCCCAACCCACTGCCTCAGCCTGGAGCCCCCTCCTGCAGCCCAAACCCCTCATTCCCAGCCCCACCCCAGACACTGCACCACCAGCCAGAGCCCTCACACCCCCCGCACCCCAGCCCAGAGCCCCCTCCCACACTCTGAACCCCTCAGCCCCAGCACGGAGCCCCCTCCTGCACTCCAAATCCCTCATCCCTGCCCCCACCCCACCCGCACCCCAGCCCCCGCATCCAGCCCGGTGGGAAGAGTGAGCGACAGAGAAAGGGGGGGATGGGGTGAATGGGGGCGAGGCCTCAGAGGAGGGGCGGGGCAAGGGGGTAGTTTTTGTGCCTTCCCTTCCCCTCCCCCACCAGATGCTAAAACCCTCCCTGGCTTCCACTGGCACCCCAACTTTCTCCCACTGCTGACCAACCCCCCCATCCGTGCTACCTGGGGTGAGGACATCTACTCAGGGCCCCCCCACCAGGCACAGGGCCCTGCCCCCCTCCTTTAACAGCCCATCCCCGTTCAGCCGCCCCAATTCCCAGGAGAACAGGGTGCTCCATGCTTTGGGGGGGACGGGGAGGGGACACCTCCCCACCCCCAGACAATCCCTGTTTGCTCCACTCTGTGAGGCTTCTCATTCGGAGGCCAGACTCCAGGCATCCCCAGCAGGGACTCGCCCTGGTGTGTGGGTGGGTGGGGTGGAGGGCCGCTGGGGGTGGGGTGGGGGGACATGAGGGCAGAACGGCAGGCCTCTTGGGGCCCATCCAGCCCCCTCTGCCAGGGCACAATCATTCCCTGCAGGGCACCCCTCCCAGGCTCCCCTGCGCCCATCTGCAACCGCCCCAAACTCAGGGGGCCGTCCCCCTGGGCGATCACGCTCTCCTCTGCACACACTTACCCGCTTTTTCCGGGCTGCTCTGGCTCGGGGCCATCCCCTCGCATCCCCCATCCCCCCATATTCCCAGCCCCCGCCCCTTATCCGGCCCAGCCACATGTGCTGGGGAGAGATAAGGCAGGGCACAGCCCACGCTAAACCGCTGCCTTTCAGGAAGCGAACGTGGCTTTTGCTACAGCCCCCTGCCCCCCCTCTGAGATCAAAGTCACCACAGTCCCTGGGGACAGCACTGGGGGCGGGGGCTAGGTCAGGGCCAACCCGGATCAGAGCCGAGTTCACGGAGGTGGCAGGGGGGTGAGAGGAGGGGCTGGGGGGTGCCCTTGTGGTGGCGGGGACAAGGGGAGCAGGTGGTTGAAATGAACCGGCCAGCGAGGATGGAAGCGGGGAGGGGAGTTCCAGGGTCCCTGGCCTAGGCTGGGTTAACCCAGCTGCACGGCTCACCCACCTGGGGGAGCCTGGAAGGGGGCAGGGAAAGGGGCCGGTGTTGGGAGGGGGCAAAAGGAAGGAAAGAAGCAACTGGTGAGAGACCCGTCTTCCCCCAGGGCTGGCGCGGGGGCAGGATCGGCCAGGCCAGAGCCGATACTGCAGCCAAGCTACACGGTTCGGGGGCCACGTCTCTTTAGCCCTCCTGCCAGCTCCCGCCCCCGGGCCACAGACCGACCGGGGAGCCCCAGCCTTGGCCTCTTGAGTGTGGTTAACGACGGGGCTGGCTGTGGGGTTCAGAGACGGACCATTGTCCCCTGGGAACTGGCTGGAGACCTACCAAACCCACGGTCCAGGGAGGCGGCCAGGACTGGGGGGCAGATTTTAAGGGCACCGCCGGCCCCGGGAGCCCCCTCCCCAGCTGCAGGCAGCAGTCCAAGGCCGGGAAAGGAAGGGGCTCCCCGGGGGGCTGGGCCAGGGAAGACGGGAGCCCGAAGGCCAGAGCAAGGCCAGGATTCCCTCCTCCCCCTGCTAACAAGGGACTTTCATGATGGGCTCCCCTCAGCTCCACCGACCCCCCCAGCCCCTCCCCCTGTTCCGGCACTGCCCATCACTTCCACATGGCAGCCGGACACGGCAGGGCAGGGCCCTTCCTCTCAATCCCACCCGTAGCCGCAGCCCTGGGCTCCCCACATCCTTTGCCTCCCTCCCAGCACAGCCCCACCCCCGAAGGGCAATGACCTGCCCTAGGCAGGAAGTTGGCCCCCAACCCCGTCCTGCACCCCTGTCCCCCGGAGCAGCCCCCTTACCAGTGTTTGTGGGTGCACAGGATGGCCTCCAGCGTCACCCCCTCCTTCTCGATGGCTGCCTGGAAGAAGAGAGAGCGTGAGCAGCAGCCCCAGCCTGACCACAGGCTCTGCCCCCAGCCCACCCCAGTGGCTAAAGAAACAGGGAGCTGTCTGGTGGGGTGGGCTGCACCAATCAACTGGGGGACAGACATGGGAGAGGAGGTGACCAGCCAGCCAGCACCTCCCCCAATCTGGCAGCCATGTGATTTGATTCAGGCCTAGAATTGGCGAGGAAGCTGTTGATATTGGGGGGCCCGGGCTCCCCACTGCTGCACCCTCCAGTCGCTCTGACCTATCTCCACGGTGCAAAGGAACTGCCCCCAGATCCCACAGCTGCCCCCCCGCAATGATGGGTGAGACTCGAACCCGGGACCGCCCGAGGGCTAAGTATCCCATGCCCGGCCAGCCGGGCAGGCAGGGGGCAGGATGCAAAGCCAGGGCTCCTCACGGCAGCACAGATCCCTCCCAGGCCCTGGCAGGGGTCAGGACCCCAATTCTCCAGCACACACGGCCTGCCCCAGTAATCCCCAGGGACGCGCTGGCTCAACAACATCGGCGTGGCCGTACTGGGGCAGAGCAATGGTCCATCTAACCCAGGATCCCGTCTCTGACCACTGCCGGTGCCAGGTGCTCTAGAGGGAGTGACCAGACCAGGCAACCATCGAGTGAGCCATCCCGTCCTCCACGCCCAGCCTTTGACAGTCAGAGGCTTAGGGATACCTAGAGCAGGGGGTTGCGTCCATGGGCGTCGACTCCGTGGGTGCTCCGGGGCTGGAGCACCCATGGGGAAAAAATTATTGAGTGCTCTGCACCCACCGGCAGCCAAGCTCCCCGCCCCACCCCCTCCCCTGAGCGCGCCGCGTCCCCGCTCCTCCGCCTACCTCCCAGCACTTGCCGCCACCAAACAGCTGTAGCCACCTCCGGGAGGGAGTCGGGAACGCGGCGCGCTCAGGGGAGAAGGCGGGGGCGGGGGCGGGGTGGGGATTTGGGGAAGGAGTCGGAATAGGGGCAGGGAGGGGGCGGAGACTTTGGGGAAGGGGTTGGAATGGGGTCAGGAGGGGGCGGGGTGGAGTCAGGGCGGGGCGAGGCGGTGCGGGGCGGGGGGTCGAGCACCCACCGGCGCCAGACGAAGTCGGGGCCTATGGTTGCGTCCTTGACCATCTTGGCTAATAGCCACTGCTGGACCTGTCCTCCAGGAACTTATCTAGTTCTTTTTTTAACCCAGTTATAGCCTCGGCCTTCACAACATCCCCCAGCAAGGAGTTCCACGGGCTGACTGGGCGTTGTGTGAAAGCACGTCCTTATGTTTGTTTTAAACCTGCTGCCAGCTAATTTCATTGGGTGACCCTTGGTTCTCGTGTTCTGCAAAGGGGTAAATAACACTGCCCTGGTCACTTTCTCCGCACCCGCCATGATTTTATAGACCTCCCTCATCTCCCCCCTTCCTTGTCTTTTTCCTAAACTGAACAGTGGCAGACTTTGCACTCCCTCCTGGTACGGAAGCCGTTCTACCCCCTACTTGTTTCTGTGGCCCCCCCGGACCTATTCCCAATTCCAGTGTATCCTTTTCGAGATCAGGCGACCAGATCCGCACGCAGTATTCAAGGTAAAAAGAAAAGGAGGACTTGTGGCACCTTAGAGACTAACCAATTTATTTGAGCATAAGCTTTCATGAGCTACAGCTCACTTCATCAGATGCACACTGTGGAAAGTATAGAAGATCTTTTTATACACACAAAGCATGACAAAATGGGGGTTTACCACTACAAAAGGTTTTCTCTCCCCCCACCCCACTCTCCTGCTGGTAATAGCTTATCTAAAGTGATCACCCTCCTTACAATGTGTATGATAATCAAGGTGGGCCATTTCCAGCACAAATCCACGGTTTAACAAGAATGTCGGGGGGGGGGGGGGAGGAAAAAACAAGGGGAAATAGGTTACCTTGCATAATGACTTAGCCCTTGTCCCGTCCCGTCCCGTCCCGTCCCCCCCCACGTTCTTGTTAAACCCTGGATTTGTGCTGGAAATGGCCCACCTTGATTATCATACACATTGTAAGGAGAGTGATCACTTTAGATCACCCATTTTTTCATGCTTTGTATGTATAAAAAGATCTTCTATATTTTCCACGGTATGCATCCGATGAAGTGAGCTGTAGCTCACGAAAGCTCATGCTCAAATAAATTGGTTAGTCTCTAAGGTGCCACAAGTCCTCCTTTTCTTTTTGCGAATACAGACTAACACGGCTGTTACTCTGAAAAGTATTCAAGGTGCGGGCGTCCCGTGGATTTATACAGAGGCAACATGATATTTTCTGTCGTCTCATCTATCCCCTTTCCTAATGGTTCCTAACATTGCTTGCTTTTGTGACGGCCGCTGCACATGGAGTGGGTGTTCTCAGAGAGCTCTCCGCACTGACCCCCCCCCTCCCCCCCGATCTCTTTCTTGAGCGGTAGCAGCTACTTTAGACCCATCATTTTGTCCGGCTAGCTGGGATTCTGCTTTCCAACGTGCACGACTTTGCCTTTTGCAACGCTGAATTTCATCTGCCACTGCGTCGCCCAGTTTGGGGAGATCCCTTTGGAACTCCGCCCTGGCAGGCTGCTCTGGGCTTCACGATCTTGAATAGTTTTGTATTGTCTGCAAATTTGCCCCCCCCCGCTTTCATCTTTAGCTCAGCGGAGCCATTTCCTGCCCCAGGAGGTTTTACTAAGCACACAGTTTCACAAGCAGGGAGGGGCAGGCACGCTTTTTACTCTGTGTGTGTGTGTGTTGGGGGGGGGGGTGTTGCAGGGAAGCGGAGCCAGCTCATGCACTGGCTGCTTCCCCAGCTGGGCAGGTGGGGAGGGCTCCACTAGAGTCAGTCCTGTCCCGCTGGTGGCCCATGCGCAGCTGGGGAATTCTGGGAAGGCTCCCCCATGCCCAGCACAGGCCCCACACTGGGAGAAGCAGTTATTTCCGTGCAGCAGCTGCTCTTCCTCTGTCTCTGCCTTGTTTCCCCTCCTCCCCCCTGCTGCTTCCTGCCAGCCCCCAGGGCAGGCCCCCCTCCAAGTTCATTCCCCGGCCTGGGATTCATTGCTCTTGCCGCTAAGTGAGCTCCAGGCAACGAGGGGTTAAAAAGAACCCAGGCCAATGTAGTAGCGATCTGCATGCATGGTGGCTGATCTCCTCCCACATGCTGGGGGGGAAAGGGGGGGCAGGCAGCGGCTTAGGCTCTGCAAGTTTGAACTCTCCCCAGAGAACTCCCCTCCCCTCCTCCCCAGGAGGTTCCCCCGAGTGACTCAGCCCTGCTCCCAGGTTTGGAGCCTGGCACGTCCTGGCAGCGTGCAGAGGGGCCAGCTGCTCTCAGGGAGGGCGCGGCAGGCACCACTGGTGGGTGCAGAGCCAACCGGCCGGGCACACCAGAGTGGAGCCAGCAGTTGGTTTGTATTGACCACCCTGGGTGCCATCTTGATGCCCATCGGGCAAAGCGTCCCCTATGTCAGAGACGGGGCCACCGAGAGGCTGACGCACCAGCTGCTGCGATCTCCTGTCGCTAGGACGGGCCATGATGAGGTTAAAAGGGGAAGCCAAGTTCTCCGTAAAGCAGGTCGTAATGAGACAGTGCACGCACCGCTGCCCTCTGCTGACTGGATTCAGAACTGCTCACCTGTGTCATGGGCCCTATAGCGCTATGATCTTAAGGGGATTCTCCTTCGCTCTGTGCAGCTGTGGGAGCAGCGTTCCACCCCACTTGCGAAATTCTGCGTGACCACAGCGTGGGGCTTGGAGACAGGCATGGAGCCTTGGTCCTACCCCAGCCCTGTGGTCCTATGCTCCCTGCCTCCCCACTGCAACTTGGGGGGGGGGGGGGCACACAACGCCCGAGCACAGGAGAGTGACAGGGTGCAGCTGGATTTGCACACAGTCACGGAGGGCAGTTCCATTGGTGGAGGGGTATTTTAGGAGCTGGGATTCCCCGCCCCCCCCCGCCCACCAAACAAGGGACTGCTGCATTTCCTTTCTGTGGCCTCCCCCCATGCTGCATATCTCCCTGTTCGCTCTCTCTTCCTCTCCTCCCCCCTCTACCAGCCACACACACGCAGCTCCTGCTCTCTCTCAGCGGTTTAGCCTTTCACGCATCACCATGGTATATGGCACCACCTTCCCTGCAAAATCAATAGCAACAGCCAAGTGCCTAGCGGGCTCCCTGGAGTCTCTGGCCCCCCCAGCCGCGGAACAAACAGGCAACAAAGGGCTGGCAGCTTCGGGCGGCAGGAAAGAGGGGGCTGGGCCCTTGGCCGCGGGGGCCTTTGAAGAGCAGGGCAGCAGGGGGGCCAGGGCTGGTTTGCCCCTTGCAGCGAGGCTGGGTGCCTGATCTTCTTTGTCCGACGCCCACCCCCCAACTGCTGCCCCCCGACGCCAGGAAGGGTGGGACAGGCAGCCCAGCAGGGAAAGGTCGGTGCTGCTGGCAGAAATCCGGCAGATCCGCAGGGTACAGGGACGAGAGTGGGCAGGAAGAGGGGGCACCAAGAGCAGCTCAGGCACTAGCCCCCTTCCCTCCCCCGTGGCCACGGGATGGTGAAAGGGGGCGGGTCCCCTCTCCCCGCCCCTCAGCGTCAGGGACACCCTGCGCGTCTCAGTGGATCGATCCCCTGGTCAATTTCACAGCCCGGAGGGCGGGGGAGGAGTTCTCACCTGCACGGCCAGGGGGTCTGAGGGGTCAATGGCAGCAGCAGCGTTGGAGTGGGTGTCGATGACCAGGTAGCTATAGTTGTTGGATAGCACGGGGATCGGCAGGATCTTTACCCCTGGGGTAACAGGGCAGACAGACAAGCAGCTGAGAAAGGGGCTCTGAGCCACAGCCCCAAACCCCAGGCAGCCCCAAGGGTCCGGGGACTACCCCGCTCAGACTCTGACCCCGCAACGTTTGTCCTGATCCGGCCCACGGGCCAAGGGCAGCGGAATTGGAGAGTTTTGATCAGACGAGGCCCAAGTTACTGCTGGAGCGGCTCACGGGATTCAGGGGCTGTCAGCTCCTCATGCCCAGTTAGACCCCCAGACCCCGGCCCAACCCGAACCTGGATCCACATGTTAGCGTAACTACCCCTCGTTCCCCCTGCAAGGGAACCCGGCACCTTCAGCACTAAAATCACGAGGCTCTGCCGCCTGAGCTAAAGGAGGAACTCCACTGGCTGGTGGCTGTAGTAGACTGTTACCCTCTCGTGCATCAGCTGCTAGAGGGGGGTTAGAGACCCACCCTCTCACAGGGTGTGCTACCCTGGCACCCCAGCCTGGGCCCCAGACTTGTGGGATGAGTGAGAACGGGCTCCAGAAGAGAGGAAAGGGAGGGAGCCCCAGAAGCAGCTAGGACTCACCGCTGAACATCACAGGCTGGGGAATCGAGTGGCCATGTGGATACCGCTCCCGGGCTTTCTTCATCTGCCGCCTGTAGAACAGGTAGCCCAGCCTGGTGCGGGCGTACAGGCTGTACCTGGCGGGGGGACAGGGAGAGGGACAGAGTGAGACACAGAGACGGGTCTCCTTCCCACTCCCACCGGGGCCCAGCAACTCAGCTGCTCTCCCTGCCCTCTTTGGGTCGGGGGCAGACGTGCTGCAGAGCAACCTAGGGTGCCATTAGGTAGCATCCCCCCCGAGAAAGGGGAGAGAGACAGGAAAGCATCTGGGTCTGGATTTCCCCCTGTTCCAAGAGGGGCAGCAAAAGCTTTTAGATCAAACTCTTCCTACCATCACAGGTAGCCTGTGGGGAGGTGGCCAGACTGCCGGCTTTGTCTGCCGAGCGGCGGCCAGACGAGAGATGGGGATGGGAGCCCAGGGACCGGGAAGCCAGGACACGCGGGTTACATCACAGTTCTGACGCAGGCCAGGTCGGACGCTAGAAACTACTGTCAGCAGCAAGACGTCACTTAGGGAGGGGATTTTTAAGACCTTTCTAGCCCAGCTAAAGCCCCAATGCAGAGACAGTGATACTGCCCGACAACGCTTCTGCCGGCAGAGTTCGTCCGCCGAACCAGCGCAAAATACGCCGGCAAAACCAGCATGAGCCGTGTCTCTGCACGGCGGGTTCCCTGCTACAGCGATCCCTGCAGTCACAGGGCAGGCCAGCATAGCTGTCCCTGTCCATCCCCCAAGGGCGACCTTCTCCTGCCGTACACTGGGGCAGATTCCCTCCGCAGCCCTGGGCCAAACTCCCGACAGCCAGACCATCAATAGCAGCTGCAGGCGCCTTGAGAATCAGGGGGTCAGCTCCTGGGAGGGCATAAATCAGCGTAATCTCCTTGACGTCAACGGAGCTCTGACCATTTGCGCCAGCTGGGGACCCTGGCCCCAGGCTGTTAACCTCAGTTTCCCTCTCTGCAAAATGGGGCTAATGCAGCTTCACCCACCCTTGCCTCTCTGCCCACGCCTGCTGAGCACGGCTTTGACCGCCAGCACTGCCAGCGCCCTGGGATTGGCGCAGACCCAGCCCATCCACCTGGCTCCCACGATCACACCAGCTCTTGGTCGGGGGGGAAGGTAGCCGCTGCAGCAGGGGCATCAACAAGAAGCCCCCCTCCACCCCCTTCCCGAAGCCAAACTAGCCAAAGCCCGTCGCCCGACTCAGCCGGTGCACGGCCAGACACCCATGGGCTGTGCCTTTCAGCGTCCAAGCTCCACACAGAGATGATCTCACCAGTGGGGCCAGTTTCCCCAGAGAAGGGGGGACGTGTGGCACCTTAGAGACTAGCCAATTTATTTGAGCATATGCTTTCATGAGCTACAGCTCACTTCATCGGATGCATTCAGTTTTCACGAAAGCTCATGCTCAAATAAATTGGTTAGTCTCTAAGGTGCCACAAGTCCTCCTGTTCTTTTTGCGAATACAGACTAACCCGGCTGCTCCTCTGAAACCTTTCCCCAGAGAGGCACTCGGGGCAGGGGCACCACTTACAGAAGGATTTCCAAGTCAATGGATCAGCATGAACTGAGCAAACAGGGAACCAAGACACCTCCAGGTGGCTGCACAGGGGGGGTGCTCCCAAGTGGGGGCAGATGGTCCTGTTACTGGGGGACAGTTCAGGGGGACAGGCTGGGTAGGAGCCAGGGGAGGAGGGGGGAGCTGAATCTCCCTGCATGTCGCTGGAGAGGCGCATGGCAGGGCTGACAGGAAGGGACGGGGGGGGGCGCTGATCTGCGTTACTGAGAACGCCCTGGGATGACGAATGCCAATCTGGCTTTCAGGTACCCCTTGCAACGTGGCAGAGGGGGCTGGGGGCAGGAGTGAGGGGAACTGGCAAAGCCAGGCGTGGAGAAGTCAGAACAGTGCCCAGCTGCCCCAAGCTGGCTCTCCCCCCACCCCTGAAGGCACCGCGCCAGATGTGAGACAAGGCCGGGAATCCTTGGCACGCTGGCCACGTTTCTGAGAAAGGAGCTTTGCCCTTCCCGCACCATCCACAATAAGCCTCCAGCTTATCAGGGAGATCTGGAATTCCCCTGATCCCCCGGGGCATCAAAGTCCCAGCAGCTGGAGCGCTGACCTGCCCCGCCCCGGAGGAAGCGCGGAACTGTGCCCTGGGTTCTGAGCTACGCACCCAGGGCACCCCGGACAGCTGCTGTCAACGGGCTTCCCAAGCAGGGGTGGGGAGCTGGCACATGTGGTCTGCCCAGGACACAGCGTGCATGGTCAGGCTCAGGAAGTGAGCTCAGCACCGGGGGGGGGCGGGTTAAAGTTGGGGAGACCATGCTCCCCCAGCAAGCAGGGTGAACTCACGGGCTCGGATTTCACGGCACGCAAGCCCTCAGCATCTGGAAAACTGGCCTGCAAGAAAGCTTCAGTGGGCAGCTGCTGGTTAATGGCCCTGGAGGGGCCTGGAGAAGGAATGGGGTGCGCGTATGGGAAGTGGGGTTGCTTTCACTGCTCTTGGACTCACCCAACCAGGCATTTCCATTGGTTTCTCTCGAAAGATACAAGAGCCAGCAAATATCCTGGCAGCGTGGGGGGAAGGAGTTGGGTGTAGTGGGCCACAGCAGGGACTGGTTCTATTCCCCGTTCTGGGCGGGGAGTGGGGGCTAGTGAGTGAGTTGTGTGGGGGTCTGGGAATCAGGACTCCTGGGTTCTATTCCCAGGTCCAGGAGGGGAGCGGGGTCTGGGAGCCAGGACTCCTGGGTTCTATCCCTAGCTCTCCTAATCTTTGACCTTAAGCAAGCCACACACCGTCCCCGCCATCACTCCTTTCGCTCGGGGGGCTGCAGTCCGCTATGCTGGTAGAAGCGCAGCGTTGCGGACAGCACACTGCCGGTACAACGGCCGACACGACCGCCGCCTCCCTGGGGTAGATCCGGCTTCAGGGTCCCGTCTGTACAACTGGGATCCCCCCAAGTCGCATCACAGGGTGGATGTGCCAGGCGCGGGTCGCTCACGGCCGCAGAGCGCTTTGAGACACTCCAGCGGGGGGCGCTGGCGTGTCAGTCATTCGAGCAGCGACCTGCCGGGTCCATGGCACTGAGCGGGGCTCAGCCGAACCCTGGCACACCTCTGGCAGAGAGACAAGGCCTGCGAGCAGGGGAAGCAGGCCCAGGCCCCATCACCACGCTGATGGCAGTGGCAACCGCTGAAACCGAGCTTTCCGGGTGGCAAAACCGCCAGCCGGGGGGTAGGCACCGGGGCAGGGGATGGAGATCAGTGGGCCATGGGCTTTGAGGGCTTTAGCATGAGAGCTTTCAGCTGCTCCTAGATGAGTGCCGGCAGAGCAGCCCCTCACAGAGCTGTCTGCGGGAGGGGAAGAGGAGGAAGCTGTCAGAGCATTTACCAGGGCTGCCGGTAATTTTCCAGCCTGCTCCCCACCCCCAGTCAGGCTTCTGTGCTGGTTTCTCTCCACCAATTGCACCAGCCATCCTAGTGATCATGAAACCTCCTGTTCCCTCTGCCAGGCCCCCAGCCCCGTGGTTTTAAAAGAGGAAACTTGGCTGGAGTAGTATTAACCCGTTCAGGCACACAAGCAAGGGCTGGTGGCTTTTTTGGTTTTTTTTGTCTTTAACTTATATATTTGCCTTGCTATACTGTGTGTATATGTGTGGGAGGGGGCGGGGGCGGCAGTGGGGAAGGGTAACAATTTGTGTGATGCAGAGGGGTGCTTTGACAACCTGCCAGGAGCCCAGAGGCAGCACCTAATTTGCACACATTACAACAAGAGTTTACATTTCTCTAGTACCTTCCCTAGCTGCGGTTCTGGAGGCATTTGGGGAAACTGAGGCACAGGGCAGGGAAGCGACACTCAGGGTTGCATATGGAACGTGCAGGGGCTGGAAGCTGGGGGGTCCTGACTCAGGCCCCTCTGCTCTAACCACTAGTCACCCCCACTCCCCCTAAAGGAGACCCAGGGCAGCAACTTCCCTGCCTCCACATCCCTGAGCCATGTGGCCTCCAAATCAGCTCCTAGCAAGGAGCTCAAAGGAGCCCCACAGTAGTGTTGGTATCTGGGGGAGAAGGGGAGGTGACAAACCAGAACCCCGCCCCCCCAGCACCCTGCCCCTCAGGCGACACCCCCAGGGGATTCCCAGCTCAGCAGGCGAGTATTCAGGGCCAGCTGGATTCTCCAAGCAGCTACAAGCCCCTCCCCTTTGCCCCACTGAGGAGCTGGGTCTACAGGGAAAGAGACCTTGCAGATGTGGCAGGGGAGGCAGGACTCCTGGGTTCCATCCCTTTGCTGTGAGAAGGAGAGCCTTTAGAGCAGGGACTAGAATCAGGACTCCTGGGTTCCATCCCCAGCTCTACCACTGGACTTTGGGCAAATCCCTCTTGGTGATTCCCTGTGCCCCCCCCCCACCCCCAGCAGGGTGGGCGGGCAGCTTCTGGGAGCCTCACGCCAGAGATGGGACCCTACTGGGCCTCGGGGTGGGATCATATGAGGCTGGACAGACGATAAACCCCAGAAGACGCTAGGCCTGGGGAGGAGCAGACTGTGGGGAACCCCACTGGCTACACACCCCCACCTTCAAAAGGAGATAATGAAACCCCACCAGAGCCCTTCAATTAAAGGTGGGCCCATGCCAGGCCCCCTGCTCCCACCCCCCACAGGGTGCATGTGGGCACACAGCGCCTCTCGGGGGGGGGGGCGGAGAACGGCCACAATGAAACAGTGGCAGTGGCCGAGACTGGAGTGAACTCTGAGCCCTTTCTCCCCCGCTGACCCCATGACTCTAGGGCGGGCTCTGATCCAGACAGCCCCAGCTGATGCGTACATGGCTGTCACGTGGACACTGCTGGGCAGTGGGGCGAGCATGTGGGGTGTGGGTGTGTGGACAGTTACAACATCTCTGCCGGCAGCCATCAGCTCAGAGCCCGGGTCCCGCGAGCTCGGTGTCTTGTCCCCAGGATCAGCCTGTGCAAAACATTCCATAGGAAGCAGCTAAAATCACCGCCATGGACAATCGTGGAGTAACCTTAATGGAAGCATCTGCTGAGGCCTGGGGCAGTTACGGGCTGGCCCTGGC